GGCATACTTTCTCAGTGACCTGATGAGTATGCTCAGGAAGATAGAGAAGGGCTGAGTCCGAAGGCAGTGGTTGGTGGCTCTACAGAATTCACGGCTGGCAAGGATTAGTTTCATTTTTGTGCCAGGACATGTGGGGGTACAAGGAAATGAGCAAGCTGATAGACTTGCAAGTAAGGCTACTGGAAAAGCCTAACAGCCATGGACCAGGCTGATATAGTGAATGCTCTATAAGATTAAAGACGTTTGCGTGAACCAATTGAGAACTGTGAATCTGTAACCATGATCATACTGGAAGAACAGCAAGTTAGACTGGGTGTCACCAAATAAGAACACTACGCAGGTAGCCAAAGAAGAAAAATAAACCAACACAGAACTGGTGTTGTCAGCTGCTACGCGCTGCGGGATTTATTGATGGGATCCGAGCACTTATGGACTCAGTGGTTCGACGTGCAATGAGGATAACTAACTATTTTCATCCATAAAAACTGAAGTAACAGTAGCAATTTATCATGTTGTAAACACAGCGATGATAAAAACTTTTTAGGAAACCACAGTGACTTAACTGTGCAAGAACATATCCCAACAACCCACAAAATCTGACTACTGTACTGGTTAACTCATGTATAATAAGTGCAAAGAAAATATGCAACCATACTGTAAACACATAAATAAAGACAGCTGTTCTGAATAATGGCATAATTATATAAATGATTACTTGAGCATAAAGTCAACAGTTTACCGTCAGTCCAGATATTCACAAGGTTCAATATTTACTGTGGACATTAACACAGCTTTCAAAATTGTCTCACTTTGCTGAGCAAAACCAGTAAAGTGCTTTAACAGACAACATATAGCCCAGCTGAATTCTATGCACAGAAAAGTTTGATTTTATTTTTTTACATAATCTGCAAATACTACTCCATTTCTTCCCACTGAATACCAGTGTTCCATTTCAAAAATTAGTAAAGTGCTTTAACAGACAACATACAGCCCAGCCTAATTCTATGCACAGAAAAGTTTGATTTTATTTGTTACATAATCTGCAAATACTACTCCATTTCTTCCCACTGAATACCAGTGTTCCATTAAAAAAATTAGTAAAGTGCTTTAACAGACAACATATAGCCCAGTGATAAATTTCAATCCTCAACAAGTGACAACAGTCTGGAGCTTTCATCTCTCTTTTACACAACTTGGATCATTCCTTTTTAAATAGTTTTCCAAGTCCTCTAAGATGACAAGAACTCTCATCTAGGGCTGTTTGTTTGCATGTTTTATTCTTCAGATTACAGACATAATCTTGATAAGCTGGAACTGTCATGCAAAATGAATAGTCAGTACTGTTTTCTCTTACTTTGTTCTCTTTTCTTTTCCTTTAAAATTTTTTTTTTTTACTGTTATCTGTATTCTATTTTAAAGATACTCTACTTTAAATTCTCTAGTTAATTATTATGCAACCAACATTCCAACACAAGTTGTCATATCATGTGGAATATTTTTGGAAAGTTGTAATCTTTTTTTTTTTTTTTTTTTTTTTAAATTTCAACAACTATCTAATTTTGATTTTTTCAGTTTTCACAATAATTATTATAAATCACGGGTGGTTAGTATCTACAGTGACAATAGAGATGACAATATTACAGTTATTTCACTTGCAAATAATAAATATTCAACACAGAAATGTCTGGCAATGTCCATTTCACAGAACCACATTTCTAAATATTTCACAAGGGCTGACGCAGGCAGACTAAGAAGAGAACAAGAACTTTAAGTAACTAAATGGTACAGTGGGTACATCATATCAAAGTTTTCATAATAGAAACAGAAAACATATTACTTTTACACAATTGCGATCAACATACAGTTGCCAGTTTTTTTTTCCATGTAAAAGGTAAAACAATAATACATAACTCTTAACCGTGTAGCCCTGAGAAGCTACAACACTTCTGGTTGGGTCCAATTCTATAAGACTACTTGATTATAGTGGCACGTTTACGAGTCGTCACGTGAATAGCAATTTTATCGCTTGTGCCTGCACAAATATTTAGGAGCACCAGAAATGGTTGGAGTTACTAAAAGAAATAACATTCAGAGAGTTTTTCATGTGGAAAAAAAATAACTTTATTAATAGACCTTATAATGTCCTAATTTTTCTATTGGTCACAGTGTTAACCTGTAGCTAGGTCCCGGGGCAAAAGATGGGTCACTGTAAAATTTTATTTTTACTCACATTTGTTTCACCCAGTTAATTCTCTTCTGCATTCATGTTTACTGATAACTTCCTGTTTTCTGAATGGAATTTAATATTGTTTTGATCGATTCTTATGCCCGGCTCGCTAGCGTAGTGGGTTAAACCTGACTTCGCAGCGACCAGATAATGAACTTCTTGTGGTCCGGGTTTACCCCCTCCGGGGGTTGGCAGAAACGCCACATTTCTCCATGATTTACTGTATCTATCATGGAATCAAGGCCGAATGGATGCCATATCCATAGTACAGAACCAAATGGTTAACAAGTCATAGTTTCTGGATATTTGAAGAAAAAAATAGAACTCTTAATATTTTGGGGTGGGAGGGGGAGTGACCTGTGTAGAGTGTGTTTTTTTGTTGTTGTTTTAAACATTTTTTAATGGGAATTCCATAATGAAGGTCACTGATATTGTTATTTTGTCAGGACAAGAAAAAATTTTCAACCTCTAAAAATACACAATAAAATATTCCATCTAAAAAAAGAGATCTCCACATGTAAAGTCGTATATCACTGATATATAACTAGCAGCCATCTTGTTACAGAGTATGACACACTAATTACTTAGATATAATGAACTACATACATAACTTATCTACAAAATCAACAAACAGTAAACATCTGTATAGGACTCTGTATAACATAGTGCATAGATAATTCTCTAAACAAGCAATTTACAAAAAAGTCAAAACAAATCACATCTGCCCTGTTCAGTGCAAACGTCTTGTGGAACACTCAAACCACATTGTACATTAACAAGAATAAATCATATTCACACGGCCCTTGTGGTAACAAAGTAATAACCGTTTCTTTGGTATTTCACAGCCACATTAACCTCTGGCCACAAGAAACAAAGCATATGCCTTAAGAATTAATGAGATTTTAGTAAGTTGATCTTACAGACCTCAGCTGTGTAGTGTTAGTCATCATGAACAAAGTATTTGCCTTGAGAATTAATAAGACTTCAGCTGTGTAGTGTTAGTCATCATGTCCACAGCCATTTGTCTCAGGTAGTAAACAATCATTTCCAATACACATGTAACTACATACCATAATGACAAATTATCCAACATATTTCCCCTTGGTATCCCACCCCCCACCCCCTGCTTTTCTCTCTTTTCCTTGCTATTTCCCCCCTTCAACTTTTCCATCATCACATCCCCTTTTCTTGATGAGCCAAAAAAATGTGGACCTAGCGAACGAAAGAAGAAGACAAATGTGGACTGTCTTCTTTTGATGCAAGTAAACAGTTTTCTTGTACTAGTATGTTATTGCAAATTCTTTGTGTCCCAGTTAAAACATTCTTGTTTTCCCAGTTAAAACACCATGAGTTATCCTGTATACTCTATCTGTGCAAAACAAGAAATAAAGAAATCTAAGATTCAGTCTGGGAGAACCACAGAAATGTACCTTATTTTAATTTGCAGCATAGGGTAATTTTTGTTTAACTGTAGAAATAAGGCAATTATACTATAATATGAAGGGGTTTCAAGTGATACCTTAAAAGTGTGACAGATTGTACAATAATCATGTTACTGTCTTGTAACCTGTCATTCTTGCTGTTAGGATGTCAAGAGTGTTAAGTATGTGACATCACTGTGCAAACATAGTGATGTCATAATGACAGTTTAAAAATGGCCAGCCTACTTCTGACATGCAAACAAGAGAGCAAGCATTCCATAATCAACTTTTTAATCACTGAAGGGGTTAGACCAATAGATATTCATCCGTAAATGAAGGTCCGGTATGGTGAGGCATGCCCATCAATTCATCAAGTATATGAATGAAATAGGAAGTTTCAAAACGACGTGACTTCTGTGATAGACTGCTCCCTCTGGAGTCATTACTAGGTGAGCCTGACCCCGGTGTGAAGAGCATGTCATAGATGTCACACCTTTCTGAAACCTCCTACTCCACTGACAGACTTGCTGGGCTGACAGGCATGCATTAACCATACTGGACCTCCATTCAATACTGACAATACTGACAGGTTACAAGAGCATGGCATGGTTATGGTCACATCTGTCACACTTTTCAGGTTTTTATCTGAACCCCCCCCCCCCCTTTTTTCCCCGTAACTGTGGCAACTGGAACACTTAGTTATCAGCCAGGAAATATTCTTAGACAGAAAGAGTGCCTACCTGCATGTCCGTCTATCAAGAGAATCGTTTTGCTATCTACCAAGTCTGTCTGCCTGATGGTTATGAATATGGCATTTGACCCATGTTTTACTTGGACATAACCTTTACAGTCTCAATAACTCCCTGTGTGGGTTCCGGGGCCTTATTATACGGAAATCAAGAACAGACCCATTGCCTACCCAAAAGCATTTTGTAAGAGTTGACTAACTGGGAGCTTCCTTTGAAGTCGGAGTGCATCTGCCTAAGAGGCAAGGAGCCATCAGTCTGCACGCAAATGAGTCAGATCTGTCAAATGGATACACAACCAACACTCAGGTTCTGAAACAGGACTGCAGCCCAGAAGTGGATGAACAACCAGAACTTTGGCTGGAGTTTGCAACGAGTTAACGCGAAGACGAAGAGGAAGTATCAATAACATCCCAAGACATCAAGAAGTAGTTCAGAACAAACTGACTGCAAAAAAAATACTGCTTGCTTTACAACTAACTATTATTAATCCGAAATCTTTGCTATAACTTTTTTCACAGCTCATTTTTGGCAACAGCTTCTATGTAAAGAAATGTCCCACAAGAGCACATGCAGGCCCGACACTCAACGTCTTCGCTGAAGGTTTCACACAAAGACTTTTCCCGGGTTCATGATGCCATTAGGATCAAAGGCCTGCTTCACCTGTTTCATCACCTCCACTCCATGTTCACCAAGCTCTTTGATAAGAAGCTCCCTCTTGCCCAGGCCAATCCCATGCTCCCCGGTACAGGTACCGTTGAGACTCAGCCCCAGCCTGCAAACATTTGTGCAAAAAAAACATTCATTAACCTGCACATATTCTGGGCAATAATCTTGAGCTGTAATTGGCAGATATAATGTACGCTTGCAGCATTTAGTACAGATAATCTAGACACACTGCACAGTATTTTATCATTTGTAAGTGTAGGTGATTTTCATAAAATACATACACTAAATCAAACATCTGCAATATTTAATAAATATATTCTAGACATGTTCTGTGCAATATGAATTTAACCTAACCTAGGCGTAACTAGTGCAATATTTATCAGAGATAAGCTAGAATTACTCTGTGCAATATTTGTAAGAGCAACTTAGACCTACTAGTGCATATTTATTATACATAAAACATTTAAACTAAATATACTCCGTATAATATCCTAGTCAGTGTATGCTTAGGCAAGGGCGTGGATTATACAAAGGTCAGAGCTATGATGTCTTTTTTTTCTTCTTAGCGTTCACCAGCTGTAAAATCTGAAGGAAAGTTCTGGTCGTTCATTTTTTCCTGGACTCAGGTATTTTTTCTTGTGTGCACATCATTTTAGAGATCCGGCTTATCTGTATGCAGACTGTTGGTTCCTCAACAGATGCACTCAGACTTCAAGGAAAACACCCCTAATAAGTCAACTTTTACAACATGCTTGTTAGGGGACAGTAGGTCTAGCCTTTCTTCCCACACAGTGGGGCCCTGGAACCCACACGGTGGGGCCCTGCAACCCACACGGTGGGGCCCTGGAATCCACACGGTGGAGCCCTGGAACCCACACAGAGACTTTTCTTCTCATTCGTGTGTTGTGGTCCACAGCTAGGTTGGACAGATGCAACTTTTGGTCTAAGACATCCAATTTCAGCAAACCTTTAATTACTTACCCTTTATGACATGCTTGTTAAGGGCTAGTGAGTCTTCTCCCCCCCACCCCCCCCCCCCCATGATGTCTTGGAACCAACAAAGGGAATACAAACATTATTACATGAAGGGAACCTTTTCCACGCCTTCAGCTGTATTGGGCATATAGGGCTAGACCTATATTATATAGACCAAATGGCACTCGGTGGGTGATGTGGTTAACATACCACCTTTACTTCCCCGGACTTTACCTGGTACCTATTTAAGGCTGGCTCCACCTGGAAGACATTAATAAAGAAAAAAAGTCAGGTTGTGAACCCATGACCTTCAGATCCGCAGGCAAGTGCTCAAGCCACTATACGATGGCGGCTCCCAAGATTACATTCCCTGTAAAATATACATAAACTACAAATACGTGGCCTAACTATGAGCTAGACTGCTTTTGTGAATCAACTAATATGTCCCTGTGTCGGAAAAGTCAAGATGAATGAATTAAATAATATGGCTATTATATTATTATACTGGCGATGAGATCACACGGCCATGCAACAGCACAAGTATCAAATATCTCTGTGGCTATTAACCCTCCAGTTCACAACAGGAAGTACTCCATGATTCACCCATAAAAGGGGTTAAACCGAAAGCAATTAAGCGTGGGAGCTAGTGCACAGAACAACAGTCACTGTTTCACATTGACTAACTGAGGTATGTATACTTGTCATACACAGATTAGTCATACATGCCTCCACCTTTCACTCAAACAATGGAAACTAAATATACTCTGCATAATATCAGAGTCAGTGTGTTCTTAAGCAAGGGCGTGGATTACAAAAAGGTCAGAGCTATGATAACAACCATGTGACTTAATATTTAGACTAGAGACAAGTCACAACTTTCAACAATTAAACTCACCAACGGGGCTGTAACTACCAACCCACATATTCTTTGACCATATGAACAATACTTTAGGATCACACATTAGGACCTGTGGCCTAGGGTTTCATAATTCCAACATACCATCGTTTGAGGTCAGCAGAGGTCTGCTTACTGCGTGTCAAACCGTTCAGAAAGCAATGCTCAACTACCTTTACCCTTTATCACCAGTGGAGCGCATGTCTGCAACCAACTCAAGTCATCCTATGCATTGCCATCACCCCAAACCTCCCCATCTTTTTAACTTCATTTTCTATTTCTTATCTTTATGTGTGTGTGTGTGTGTGTGTTTGTGCGTGGGGGGGGGGGGGGGGGGGTCCTGCCTTTATTTAAATTCCAGGTGCCAGTTATGGAGAGTTTCCTATGTGAAAGGAGGTGCATCAGTGATCAGGACTCATATCTGCTTTCTCTGCACCGTTTCAACATTCCTATAGAGCCTCCCCTCACTTCATTAGTTTTAGGTATTACTTCTAACACTAAACTACTAGAACTGGCCAGTAAAATCACAACCAACCAACAATGCTGGGGTTGGTTTACATCAGAGGTAAAGGATATGTGATTAACTTCCTCACTCTATAATCCATCCCTCACCCCTCACACAAACTACCATGCTAAAACATGAAGTCAACGTTTCAAACATATAACTCATCTCAGTTGATAGATAAATTAAAATGTTCAGTGTTTAGAAGAGTTTGAGGTCACTTAAATAGCGTGATAAAAATTTAACAAGTACTGATAAGCACTCGCAGAAGCAGAATAAAGAAGTCCCACTATATCTACATGAATACACACATAAACATCTCTCTTCACCCAGACAATCTAACAAATACACACTAATACAATGTTTTCACTAAAGAGGCAGCATGCATTTTAGTTTGTTACTGATTTTTTTCCCCAGGTTATAATTATTTGTACTAGGAGAAACCGCTGTCACGTGCAATGCTTAAGTTAAGAAGTAGAACTGGCACTAAGTGGCAAGACAAGATTACAAACACTGAGGTCCTAGAAAGAGCAGGTATTGCAACAGTGTTATCAATGTTCAGTATTCAAAGGCTCAGTAGGCTAGGACAAACATGGAGAATGGAGAGGCATTAAGGACATCCTCTATGATGATTTACAGTTGGGTAGAAGTTATCAAAGTCTGCCTCTACTACAATATATAGATGTGTGAAAGCGGGACATGAAGGATACATGTGCTGAGGTGGATTTACCAATGGGAAGAGGATGCTACAGACCGCGTTGCATGGAAGAGGAAATTCATGAAGAGAATGCCATGGACTGTATTGCATGGAAGGGGAAAATCATGAAGAGAATGACATGGACCTTGTTGCATGGAGAGGGAAATTCATGAAGAGAATGCCATGGACCATGTTGCATGGAGGGGGAAATTCATGAAGAGAATGCCATGGACCATGTTGCATGGAGAGGGAAATTCATAAAGAGAATGCCATGGACCATGTTGCATGGAGGGGGAAATTCATGAAGAGAATGCCATGGACCATGTTGCATGGAAGGGGAAATTCGTGAAGAGAATGCCATGGACCATGTTGCATGGAGGGGAAATTCATGAAGAGAATGCCATGGACTGTGTTGCATGGAGGGGGAAATTCATGAAGAGAATGCCATGGACCATGTTGCATGGAGGGGAAATTCATGAAGAGAATGCCATGGACCAATTTGCATGGAGGGGAAATTCATGAAGAGAATGCCATGGACCAATTTGCATGGAGGGGAAATTCATGAAGAGAATGCCATGGACCATGTTGCATGGAGGGGGAAATCATGAAGAGAATTACATGGACTGTGTTGCATGGAAGGGGAAATTCGTGAAGAGAATGCCATGGACCGTGTTGCATGGAGGGAAAATTCATGAAGAGAATGCCATGGACCATGTTGCATGGAGGGGAAATTCATGAAGAGAATGCCATGGACCAATTTGCATGGAGGGGAAATTCATGAAGAGAATGCCATGGACCATGTTGCATGGTGGGGAAATTCATGAAGAGAATTACATGGACTGCATTTCATGGAGGTGGGGGAAATCATGACAAGAATGACATCGACTGTGGTGCATGGAGCGGGAAAATCATGACAAGAATGACATGGACCGTTTTGCATGGAGAGGGAAATTCATGAAGAGAATGCCATGGACCGTGTTGCATGGAGAGGGAAATTCATGAAGAGAATGCCATGGACCATGTTGCATGGAGGGGAAATTCATGAAGAGAATGCCATGGACCAATTTGCATGGAGGGGAAATTCATGAAGAGAATGCCATGGACCATGTTGCATGGTGGGGAAATTCATGAAGAGAATTACATGGACTGCATTTCATGGAGGGGGGGAAATCATGACAAGAATGACATCGACTGTGGTGCATGGAGCGGGAAAATCATGACAAGAATGACATGGACCGTGTTGCATGGAGAGGGAAATTCATGAAGAGAATGCCATGGACCGTGTTGCATGGAGAGGGAAATTCATGAAGAGAATGCCATGGACCATGTTGCATGGAAGGGGAAAATCATGACAAGAATGACATGGACTATATTGCATGGAGGGGGGAAAATCATGACAAGAATGACATCGACTGTGGTGCATGGAGTGGGAAAATCATGACAAGAATGACATGGACCGTGTTGCATGGAGAGGGAAATTCATGAAGAGAATGCCATGGACTGTGTTGCATGGAAGGGGAAATTCGTGAAGAGAATGCCATGGACTGTGTTGCATGAAAGGGGAAATTCATGAAGAGAATGCCATGGACTGTGTTGCATGGAAGGGGAAAATCATGAAGGGAGAAAATTACTGCAGACAAGTTGAAAGCTGATCCTCTAAGAAGAACATCTAAGAAGAAACAAGTCAAACACATCTAATGGCAACAATGGTCCTGAAATCTCATGCTCCTTTGGAAGACTTTTCTCAAAGTGAGTAGATCTTGCTATTCATGCTTATCATCATCATCATCATGGGTTGTTATTCCTATGTATCCCTATAGCACAATATAAAACTTCTTCTTCTCTCTACTCCTGGAATGCCTCACTGTGTCAGGGCAATAAGAGATCTCTGGATCAGGTCCTTTTGTTGGCTTCTTATAAAGTACTTTTCAGTGTCTCTAATATTTCTGTGGTCCATCTTCTGCGTGGTTGACCTATGGGTCCATTACCGGTGTATCTGTATAACACTGCTCTCCTTGGTGCTCAGTCTGATTCCAATCTTGTTACATGGCCAAACTATCTGATTTATTGTCTACCTATTAAGTACAGTATTAGTTCTATGCTGACTCTCCTTGTGATATCATTGTTTCTGAGTCGATCTTTCCTCGTTACACCTAGCATTGTGGGTAAACATTTCATTTCTGTCGTGACCATTAGCATTCTGTCTTCTGAAGACAGCGTCTATGTCTAAAATATGAAACTATCATCTGGAATGATGGAAAGGTGTCAACTACAATGAATGTGGGTATAAAGCAAGCAAGCATGTTAGTTTTTTTAAGTTATTTTCAAAATTACAAGACCACTTGTTTTATAAGTATAGGTACAATTTACTAATAGTGAGTTTTTAAGAAAACAACTATTTTTTTTCCTCATCCAGATAATCTAACCACAAACAGCAGTGTTATATATCTGGTTAAACAAAACAAGCAAATATGTTTGTTTCCCAGTGTTATGTTCAAAAGTGTCTCTTCTTTTTTATCTCTCTCTCTTTTGCTCAGATAATCTCTTTGTCCCCTAGATAATCTTCTCTGACCTCTCTTTTGTCCTAGATAATCTCTTTAATATATATATATATATATATATATATAATTAACATGCATGCATGGGGTGGGGCTGGAGGGGGGGGGGTGAGACAGAGGTGGGGGGAAGCATGTGTGCGAGTGTGTCTATACATACACACACACATACACACACACATACACACACTGACACACGCGCATCCACGCCCCCATCTGTCATTCCCCCCTCCGTACCTCAGATCATTTTTCTCAACCTAGATAATCTCTCTTTCCCTCTCTACCCAGATAATTATTATAACTCAGACTACCTCTCTCGTTCTTTCTTTTAAACCAGATATCTCTTCCGCTGCCCCCCACCTACCAAATAATCTAATAAACAATATACAACACTACAAGTTACTCAGGTCAACAACAACAAAAGCAAGCCAGCAAGCTTCTCTAACAGCAGCAGGAGACACTACACTACTCACTCAGCAATACGTTTAGCTAAGCGCATGTTCAAAGCCACCTGTTCTGGATTCTCGGTCATTAGAAAAACCACATGAAAATTGCCATCACCCACATGGCCTACAACAAAAGCTGATGACAGAAATGCACAGTTTATGCTCAAGTCACTGAAGCTTCCAGAATTATACATATCAAGCTTCCCAACAGAAATCTATTATAGAGTTACCTCTTTTGGTTTTTGAATTTCACACTGACATTATTCACAGTGGTTCTAAATTTTAGATATTTCATTTGGTTTTAAAATTCTATTTAACAGGTATTTCATGTGGCTTTTGTTTATTAATTCTACATGACTGGCTCTACATGTATTTTTAGATAAGTTGGAGAATTCATGAAGTTCAAATATGAATGTTAGTTTCTGGCAGACACAAGGACAAAATGTACCAAAAGAAATAACTCATGCACTGAGAATGTGTGATGAAAAGTTAGCAGATGTCTTTAGACAATACAGTTCCTACAATAATATCCCCCACCCACCTTTCCCTCCTCCATTAACTTATATGAAACTATAAGCAATGTGTGTCATTACTTAATGCACAACATTAATTTTCATTAATGGGCTGGATGATGTGCAATTTTTTTTTTTTACTTGACATTAATGGTGGACCACCATGTGAAAATTAATATATATTATAATAGGCTGGATAATTAAACAAAAAAATTTGTAAAGTGACTGTAAAGTGGCTGTAAATTTACAATAACTAATATTTTGTGTCACCTCAAATCAATAGGTTTGATGTACATACATCAATGTGTTTTCTGCTTATAATGCAGTGAAAGACATTACAATCACAAAATTTAATCTCTGTACAGATAGAAGACATCAGATCATCTGCAACTTTCTCACACAAGCTCACCTGGCCAGATTTAAACAGGAACGTTAAAAATAAAGTTAGAAAACACAATGAGAACAATATAAATGAACTATGCATGGTACTCACAAAGCCATGCGTTTTGAAATATCAGTAACTTTATTCAATGTTTCTTTATCTTCACGATCAATGGGGAAAAACACGTGGAAATTCCCATCGCCAACATGGCCGACTATAGGACCTGAAATGGTGCAGCATGGTAAACAAGAGTTGAAGGATACAGTGGGTTCACCATCATTAACAGTTGCAATTTATCTGACACAGTAAGATGTCACCCCAAGCATTGATATGCAACTAAAATTATTTAGGAAAATGAAGGACAACAGATGGAGACCAACAATCTCTTCATACATAATGGCAGACAATGAAGACCTACAATCTCATCATTCAAAGACATGGCAGACAATGAGGACCTACAATCTCATCATACAAAGAAAAAACAGACAACTGATGGAGGCCCAAAATCTCATCACACACAAAAAATGAAAGATAAAATAGTGGAGCCTGCAATCTTACCATATTAAGAAATGGCAGACAACAAAAATCAACAGTCTCATCATACAAAGAAATTGCAGACAACTGATGGAGGTCAACAAACTCATCAAACAAAGAAAGGGAGACAATGAAGACCAAAAACTCATTAAACAGACAAAGGGCAGACAACCAAGACATAGTCTTACCATACAAATAAATGACAGATAATTGACAGAGGTCAATAATCTCACCATAAAAAGAAATTGCAGACAATGAAGACCTACAGAGCCATCATACATAGAAAGTGGGTAACAGATGGAAGCTTAAAATTATCAATATACAAAAAAAAAAATGGCAGGTTATTCAAGGGGCTTTTGATCTCATTCAAAGAAATGACAAATGACAAATTCCTACAGTCTCATCATTTAAAGAAATTACAATAAAACACAATGGAATAGATTTGCCTCTCAAGTGTTAATAATTATTATTTAAAATGCATGTATAAGTTTATGTTTTTCTAGAAAGATCTTAAAAGCAGTGAGGCCCAATTCTCTCATGTTTTTGCAGTGATTCATTCAGCATTCATGATTTAATCAACCTCCCCAGCAATATCTTTTAATAACATCCAACTCTGTTCTTCTGCTACAACACTTCCTCCGACAATTTCTGAAAAGGTTTTAAGAACTCGACACAGGCTTGATATTTTGCTGTTTCCTTGACCGATGAACTTAAAACTGCCTTGCAAAACCATAAGCAGCCAACAAATGCTGGGGGTGGTTGCAACTAATGCAACTAATTTAACAAACTTGTGCATTTGTGGTTTTTATCCCATCTAGGTACATCTCCAGTCCATGTTCCTAGTGTGACTGAGTTCTTTGCCCCCACTATCGATTACTATGTTTTTGTTTTCTAGGTATAAGAGGCAATAATGTATAAGACAACCCTTTGTTTGCAAACAATTCAGAAATCAAAATTTTAAACTCATTCTAAGACAATCTCCAATTTTAAACTTTAAAAAAAAAAGTTGGGAAAAGATCAGTTTATACAGTGAAAAATATGGCACATGCTTCATTTAAATTTATTTTCTTTACTGTCTATGACCTTCTGTATTCACCTGTGACACCACCCTTAAATGGGCCTTAGCCTGGATCGACACACATATGGAACTGACAGAGAAGAGACCATATACAGACCACAGTAGTTTTGACTGGGATATCTCTAGTGCAGCCAATGCTACTGGTTTTGCCAGGAATGCAGTCTCTTCTAATTTTCTCATAAGAAGCAGTGATGGGCATCTGTGTGTGGTTTTATTTCACTGGCACAGGAAAGGAGCGAGAAGCTGACTAGTGCAGCCAATCACCATTTGTATCTCTTTATTTTTAAAAGCTGCAATCTTTCACAAACTCTAGATTCTGATGTAATTACTCAGCTGTCACATTCTTTAGTCAGCTCTTTTTCTTACAGTCCATGTTGAATGGCACTGGCCAGCATGTCTGTCCACAATGTTCTGTCTCATGTAATACTGATCATGTCTGGTATTAATGTTCCTCCAGATCATGATGCCAAACTTCCCTGTGTCGGTTCCAGGGCCCTATTATAGGGAAAACAAGAATAGACCCACTGCCTCCCCAACAAGCATGTCGTAAGAGTTGACTAATTAGGAGCTTCCTTCGAAGTCAGAGTGCATCTGCCTGAGAGGCAAGAAACCAACAGTCTGCACACAAATGAGTCAGATCTGTCAAAAGGATGCACACGCAACACTCAGGTTCTGAAACAGGACTGCAGTCCAAAAGTGAACAAACAACCAGAACTTTCCGCCAGATTTTACAGCTGTTGAAAATGAAGCAGAAGAAGAAGAAGAGTATGATCTGTTGTAATGTGTTACACTTGTGACATTTGAAAACTGCATCCCCACTGCTTGGGCCTCAAAGAGTTAACTGCCCAGTGAGAAGATTAAAGAGATCACCAGTGTTTATTTTCCTGTATAAGCTAAAGTTGACAGCCATTTCTGAAAGCTTACCCTGAACACCAGCTTCACTGATCATTTCTTTGGTTTTGATGATGACCTCTGGTAAGTTTGAGATCGGCACACACACGTCCGTTGAATATGGCTGTAAAGCAGAATATGGTTACGTTAGCTTTAGCTCTGATTTCTTATTTTAAAAAGTAAGTTGAATATCCTTTACAGGATGTTGCAAACACGACCAGATTTATATTTCAGAACGCCCTAAGCTGCATAAAACCCTGAGGCACCTACAGTTTTAAATTACACCAGCTAATCTCAGAAACCTGTAAAATATATATGCCTTTTAAACATATGGATAATGGGAATATATTGTCATTTAATTGGTAACATAAGAAAAAAACAAAGAATGTGTTTGCAAAAGCAGAAACATTTAATTATATAATCCTCTTCTTCTTCGTGTTCATCAGCTGTAAATTCCTGTGGAAAGTTCTGGGTATTTGTCCACCTATGGACGTTGATCTTGCTCCAAGACTTGAGTGTTGCATGCACATCTGTTCTACAGATCTGACTTATCTGTATGCAGACTGTTGGTTACTTGCCTCTCAGGCAGATGCACTGCGACCTCGAAGGAAGCCCCCAATTTCTTACAACCTTCTTGTTGGGGAGGCAGTGGGTCAATAAGGCCCTGCAACCAACAGGAGAAAATTATCCTCTAAAACATTTTGTTAAAAGAAAATTACACTTAAAATATATTATACGAAAATTGCACTTAAAATATAAGAAAATTGCACTTAGAATAGATTATAAGAAAACTGCACTTAAAATATTAAAAAATTGCACTTAAAATATATTATTAAAAAATTGCACTTAAAATATATTATCAGAAAACTGCACTTAAAATATTTTATAAGAAAACTGCACTTTAAATGTATTATAAGAAATATGCATTTAAAATATACTATAAGAAAATAGGACTTTAAATGTTTTAAAATAAAACTGCACTTAAAATATGTTATAAGAAAATTGCACTTAAAATATAAGAAAATTGCCCTTAAAATATATAATAAGAAAAATGCACTTAGAATATATTATAATAAAATTGCACTTAGAATAGATTATAAGAAAACTGCACTTAAAATATATTATTAAAAAATTGCACTTAGAATATATTATAAGAAAACTGCACTTTAAATGTATTATAAGAAAACTGCACTTAAAATATGTTATTAGAAAAATTGCACTTTAAATGTATTATAAGAAAACTGCACTTAAAATATGTTATAAGAAAATTGCACTTTAAATGGATTAAAAGAAAACTGCACTTAAAATATATTATAAGAAAATTGCACTTTAAATGTTTTATAGAAAATTGCACTTAAAATATATTTTAAGAAAATTGCACTTAAAATATGTTATAAGAAAATTGCACTTTAAATGTTTTATAAGAAAACTGCACTTAAAATTTATTTTAAGAAAATTGCACTTTAAATGTTTTATAGAAAATTGCACTTAAAATATATTTTAAGAAAATTGCATTTGTGGAAGAAAAAAAGGAATTTGTTGAGGCTCATGCAGACTGTCAGCCCCTTAAGCTGTAGCATATTTAGCTTATATCTAAATCCAGCACTGGCGGCAAACCAACGCCAGCATTTGGTGGCGGTTTGTGGTTTTACTAGGTAATTTTTCATTCAGTGGTTTGCCACTGCTGACTTTATGGCATCTGCCTCAAGTGCTGGAGATCCCGGATTCAGGTCCCCGGTGAAGGCTGGGATTTTTTCCTGTGAATTTTCCCTGGTCTCTTGGCAGTAAGATCAGATGCATGTGTGTATTGTTGGAAATCTAAAAGAGTAGTCTAACAGCGCTGCCCGGGTAAAATTTGGGGTTAAATATCTACCTAAAGTACTTCAGAATTCTGGCCGCTGCTACGGAGTTCATGCACTGTGCTGAGATTTTTCAAACTCAAGCTAGAGTTAGAAGTAAAACCAAGCACTTATGGGTTACTACCCTTGAGCCATGATGTTGATCCACTGTTTAAACCTAAACCTTGATTTCTCAAGCTACTCAAAAATCCAAGCAGCAATCGAGCCGTTGTTATTTATGGACACACATTTTCCATTTTTTTAATATAGGATACTTTTTAAAAAAAAACTAGATGATACTTACAATTTTAACATCACGAAAGAATTACTATTTTTATTAGGTTTTATTTGCACTTTGTACATATTTTGAAGACCAACGCTATTAAGTTTCTGCATTTTGTACACAATGTTTTGAAGACTACTGGTATTATTTAAGTGTGCAATATGTAAATCATGTTTTGAAGACTACTGGTATTATTTATCTGTGCAATATGTAAATCATGTTTTGAAGACTACTGGTATCATTTATCTGTGCAATATGTAAATCATGTTTTGAAGACTACTGCTATCTTTTATCTGTGCAATATGTAAATCATGTTTTGAAGACTACTGCTATCATTTATCTGTGCAATATGTAAATCATGTTTTGAAGACTACTGCTATCATTTATCTGTGCAATATGTAAATCATGTTTTGAAGACTACTTCTATCTTTTATCTGCACTAGGTACATAATGTTTTGAAGACCAATACTATCATTTATCTGCACTTTGCATACAACATTCTGAAGGCCAATGCTACCATTATCTGTGCTTTGTACGTGACATTCTGAAGACCAATGCCATCATTTATCTGCACTATGATGTTTGAAAGACCAATGTTCAGCAGCACCCTAAGACATATTTTCCTGTTTATTTTTTTTTCCCCAGAGAAATTATTTCCCTTTTCAAACAGTCAAGATTGATCAAATCTGGAATTTCACACTGCTGCTATATTAAACCAGAATTCCTCAATAGATAACCCAGCAATAACTTTATTTAAAGAAACTAGGTACAGTACCCTGGAACCTGGAACAAGAGCAGTGCATGCATAGACCATTTCATGTCTTGCTTTCCACAGACGAGTTCTTTCATCAACGTCTGAGGCAACCTGCAGTCCAAATCCATTGTTTGCTTCAACTAGCTCCTCTGTGGAAGAATGGTTTACATCAGAATATTTCAATCTTGCATAGAACTGTTGAAATTAGAATGCTTCAATCTCGCAAGGGATCCATTCATCATATTATATATTTCAATCTTGTACAAGATGTGCCGGTTTTAGGTTTCTCCTGGCTATCCCTTAGGAATCTGATGCTGGGAATGAAAGAGTCAATCTTGCACGGAACAACTCTTACAAGTGGTATATTTAAATTCTTCATGGAATCAGATGACATAATTATATTTCAATCTCGTGTAGAATAAGAGTTCCTTTGATATACGCTTAATCTTGTGTAAAACAACAGAATATATGTTAGTATATTTCAATTCTGTATAATGACAGTTTGCATAAGTTTAAAAAAAAAAAAATATAATGAGCAAATGGAGATTTCTTTCTTCTTATAATTGTTTTGTTTTTTAATGGCTCTTCTTGTCCTAATTCCTCCCCATTACATATTTTTAGTTCCACTTTGACCTTGTTGGTTGTTTATGTTTGCTGTTTTGTCCACTGATAAAGTCTGGCTGAAACATTCGGTTACATTTGAGTGTGTCTTTTCCTCTCCCTTTATTAAGCAGCAGTCACAGCCTCCGTTGTGTTTGATTACTTTCTGTTATCAGCTTGACCCAATTTCTGGTCCAGACAATATAGGAGCAAAAACTATCAAGGAAAATATAAACAAGTTTTTAAAGAGGGGATCAAACAATGTCATTGACAAACAGCTAAGAGATGCATCTGCAGATCTGTTTTTACCAAACAGATCCTGCACTGACCAGATAGCCACCGTTTGCTTAACAGAGCAGTTCTGAATGTACCACCAATTTATATGGACATGTGGACTAGGAAAAGACCTTTAGTAGGATTGAGAGGGAGTCTGAATCCTTTTCGAAATTAACAAGGAACAACTGGATTTTAAAAAAAATCACTAACTTAATAAAGGCAACAATAAAGAAGCTTTGAAATGCCAACCTCTTCTCAATGAAAACTATCAGACACATTTGAAATTTTAAAAATGTGTTAGAAGGATGTCTTCTGTCACCTCTGCTGCTCTTACCATCTACAGGCTGGATTATGAAGACTGCAACCTATTCTACTCAGGAAATCAGAGGCACAGTAAATTAAACACACTAGATGTGAGAACACATAAATTAGGTCTAAAGACAAAGATAATAAGGATAAACCAAGCAAACAATAGCCCAATCTTCCCTGATGAAACCCCATACAAGATCTGACTCATATATCTATGTAAGCAGCAGTGTCGCTAAAGTGGAAAAGCAGATGCAGATATAAAAATGCTAATGCAAACAAACAAAAGATGCAAAGAACAAAAGATGTCTTCAAAGCACTAGGAAATCTATGGCAGTCAAAGAAAATGACTAATACCAAACATAATATTCAACTTTCATGTGACATCAGTAATGGTTTAAATTTTTTTAGCAGAGACATAAGGAACCACTAAAATAATGACTAAACAACAATCACTAAACAATCAACAATCACTATTTGATTGCATAGAATACAAGAAATTAAACTGTATGAGAGAATCACTAACGTGGAGCTTTAGGAGAGAACTGCCCCTCCGCTTTTCCACTGTCACAGCACAGTCTGGTTTTCCTCCTCTCAGGATATGCCAAAGAAAGTGAACATTGTGATGATGAATCAAAGATACTCCTATTTACTTACTAACTGCATCAAACTGATCCTCCAGCCCTTGAGCTGGCCCATGGAACTCCAGAAACAAGGAGTTGGCAACGGTCATGTTGTACTTGCTGTACTTATTAAATGCATTAATGGCTGTGTCATCCAAAAATTCTGAAAGAAGACAAATTTGTGTACATTTTCTTGGATGATGATAACTAATGTGGTCCTAATTCGGATATATGGCATTTATTTCCACCGAAGTTGATTAGGCAGCAGACAACTATGCACTCATTCTGACAATGATAAGAACACTGAAACATTAAGAAAACACGAACAAAAAGAACGACAAACTATAGAAGGTAACAATACTAGAAAACAACAAACAGCCAACAGATGTTGGATTGGTGTGCAATATCTGTGAAGAATATACGATTAGCAATTAAGTAAACAAGAACAGATCAAGTGGTTTAGTTAGATCTAAACCAAGACTGCCACAAGAAAATACAGCACAGAGAGCCTTGTCACTAAGACACAACGGAAGCAGAGCTAGAAGTTAACCATGCAAGTCATGGATAATCTGAGGCCATGAATACCAGCACTATGTAGCATACATTAAAGTTTACATAAGACGTCTCTTCAAAACCTGATGCTGAAAGGCAAAACATGACTAAAGAAGAAGCAGAAGGAAGTGATGATTATCATGGAATATCAGGAGAAATGACTGAAACATTGTATGCTGGGAAAATCAAGACCCACAATGTATACTGTTGGTAAATTATTACATACATTTAAAAATTAAAAAAAAAATAGCAATAAAACTTGTGTATTTAATAAAATAATGTACTGGAATTTATAACTTTTTTTTAGGCAATGGAAAAGGACCTTTTTCATGCGCATTTGCATATCAAGCCCATGATGTTAAACCAATGTTTTATAGACCAACTGGCACTTAATGCATGACGTGGTCAGTGAAAGAAGTCATCTGTTTCTGAGGACACTTCTTGGCAACTCATGTTGTATTATTATATCTTTTTTGTTTGGTCTCAGCAAACTAAATAAATGTGACTAAATAATTTAAGTTTAATGTAGAACAGCTCAAGCAAAGGTAGCGTTTCTCCAAATGAAGAATATTTCCATGCAATCTTTCTTCATTAATTAGGAAGAGAATTCTCAAGAGCTATATACATAATCCTAACCTGAAACATTGCAGACTGCTCAAGGCAATCTCGGAAGTGGCAAATTTATGTTAAGAAGAACAATTTGTTTATTCTCTGCAACTTTTGTTGCTTGAAGTCTTTATCTGGATAAGAGGTATTTCTGATAAGAAGAACTATTTCTTGGGTCCCCTTGAGTTCTTCACATCAGGTCTGTACTGTATACAGATGTGAATCATGGACAGTTTGACGATCAGTGTTGAAAAGGCAGATATGTGGTTATATGGACAAATAATGAGAATACCCTGGAACGATTAAAAAAGTAACGAAACTGACTCACGAAAAGAACTGATTGCCCACATCAAAAGAAGACAATCTACATTCTCTGGTCCTGCCATGAGAAGCAGAAAACTGGCCTACATTGTGACAGTGGAAATACTGAGAGGAAAAGAGGCAGAGGGAGACCAAGAGAAAAGATACTAAACATATTCAAAGTGTATCATGACATGGAAGAAAATCTGTGTCAAAACAAACCGAAAGTATGTGAGACAGAAGACTGTCGACAGACATGACGACCAACGCCACATGCTACTGACTATAAGAAGAAGAGATAATTTAACAAGGGCTCTGCATACTTTTCTTTGACAGTAATACACTCATACTATTTTCTCATTGTGATTTTTTGTTCCGTTGGGCAACTGTGATGAAAGCTTCTGTGACCCAAAGGGTTAATAACTAACTAAAACAAAAAACCTACCCAGTTTAGCCATTGGGATGCCACACTGTAAGATCTGCACCACTGTGTCCACTGCATCTTGCACCGAGTTGAAATGGCAAACAGCTGCAATAGTCTGTTTTATAAAGTAATGATTATCAGAATAAAATAAATATTTCAAGAATATGTTTTAACCAAAATACAAGTATTACAGGGAGCTGTGACGGAGCTGTAGCTATATCATAGAGAGCTGTGAAGGAGCAGTAGCTATATCACAGAAAGCTGTGATGGGGCAGTAGCTATATAACAGGAACTGTGGAGGAACAGCAGCTATATCACAGGGAGAAGACAAGGAGCAGTAGCTATATCACAGGGAGCATACAAGAAGCAGTAGCTATATCACAGGCAGCATTGAAGGAGCAGTAACTATATCACAGGGAGATGTGAAACAGCAGTAGCTATATCACAGGCAGCAGTGAAGGAGCAGTAACTAAATCACAGGGAGATGTGAAACAGCAGTAGCTATATCACAGGCAGCAGTGAAGGAGCAGTAGCTATATCACAGGGAGATGTGAAACAGCAGTAGCTATATCACATGGAGAAGTGAAAGAGCAGTAGCTATATTACAGGAAAATATAAAGAAGCAGTAGCTATAACACAGGGAGCTTTGAAGGAGCAGTAGCTATCTCACTGGCCAGCGGTCATGGGCTTGAGTCAGTATCAAGGCTTTCGTTAACATTTATGTCAGCTTCAAGGCTGACCCAGTCTAAAATGGAATCTAGGAACGTACTGGAAAGTCAAGGCAGCCTGTATGATGATGACCATATCTACATAGAGTACCAACTGGTTAATAAAATTATGCAGCTAGCACTATATGTCCAACAGGCCAACAGTTGAAAACTGTCACTTACTTTACCATTAAACTATGAAACGTGCATGGTAGCCACTTTGTAGCAAGATGTAACTGACCACAGCCACTACAGGGCAAGCCACACACACCCAAGTATCTAGATAGCAGGGCAAGCCACACACACCCAAGTATCAAGACAGCAAGGCAAGCCACACACACCCAAGTGTGTAGATAGCAGGGCAAGCCACACACACCCAAGTATCTAGACAGCAGGGCAAGCCACACACACCCAAGTGTGTAGATAGCAGGGCAAGCCACACACACCCAAGTATCTAGACAGCAGGGCAAGCCACACACACCCAAGTATCTAGACAGCATGGCAAGCCACACACACCCAAGTATCTAGACAGCAGGGCAAGCCACACACACCCAAGTATCTAGACAGCATGGCAAGCCACACACACCCAAGTATCTAGACAGCAGGGCAAGACACACACACCCAAGTATCTAGACAGCAGGGCAAGCCACACACACCCAAGTATCTAGACAGCAGGGCAAGCCACACACACTCAAGTGTGTAGACAGCAGGGCAAGCCACACACACCCAATTATCTAGACAGCAGGGCAAGCCACACACACCCAAGTGTGTAGATAGCAGGGCAAGCCACACACACCCAAGTATCTAGACAGCAGGGCAAGCCACACACACCCAAGTATCTAGACAGCAGGGCAAGCCACACACACCCAAGTATCTAGACAGCAAGGCAAGCCACACACACTCAAGTGTGTAGATAGCAGGGCAAGCCACACACACCCAAGTATCTAGACAGCAGGGCAAGACACACACACCCAAGTATCTAGACAGCAGGGCAAGCCACACACACCCAAGTATCTAGACAGCAGGGCAAGCCACACACACTCAAGTGTGTAGACAGCAGGGCAAGCCACACACACCCAATTATCTAGACAGCAGGGCAAGCCACACACACCCAAGTGTGTAGATAGCAGGGCAAGCCACACACACCCAAGTATCTAGACAGCAGGCAAGGCCACACACACCCCAAGTATCTAGACAGCAGGGCAAGCCACACACACCCAAGTATCTAGACAGCAAGGCAAGCCACACACACTCAAGTGTGTAGATAGCAGGGCAAGCCACACGCACCCAAGTATCTAGACAGCAGGGCAAGCCACACACACCCAAGTGAGTAGATAGCAGGGCAAGCCACACACACCCAAGTATCTAGACAGCAGGGCAAGCCACACACACCCAAGTATCTAGACAGCAGGGCAAGCCACACACACCCAAGTATCTAGACAGCAAGGCAAGCCACACACACCCAAGTATCTAGACAGCAAGGCAAGCCACACACACCCAAGTGTGTAGATAGCAGGGCAAGCCACACACACCCAAGTGTGTAGACAGCAAGGCAAGTCAGAAACAAGGCTAAACATGTAAAATAATTGCATGTTGTAATTCTACATTATAGAGAAAAAATAGATGGTACACGAAACTTGAAACAAACAAACAAACTACACATACACACTCTCTCTCTCCCACACACACACCCCAAATGCACGTGCACACACATAAGTTTACAGACAGGACAGACCAGACCAGACCAGACCAGACCAGACCACGCACACATGCACGCAGGCAGGCAGGCTCACTCGCACACATGCAAGCACGCACACAACGCACGCACGCACACACAGAGAGAGTAAAACTTTGATAAACCATCACTTGTTTAACCTCAGTTTCTGTTATCCATGGAACTGAGACTGTTAGTGTTGACAAAATTGTGCAACTGTGTCAAACTAAAAAGTGAAAACATTACGAAAGAAGAAGTAACAGACTGGTTGCAATGTGTAAAAATGGATGGAGAATTTGAAATTTTGAAACACGATTAAATAGTTTATAGTGTGACTGTAAGTGAAAGAAGAAGAAACTGATGATGATGAAGGATCAGTTCTTAACCAAAACAAATACTACAGTTAGCCATTCAGAAGCAGAAACAATGTTATCAAAGTGTACTGACTTGTCAGAAATACAACAGAAGGCAAATGCAACACAGATCCTGCATCTGCATCAAATACCGAATATCGCCGGGCAGAAAGCTTCAGCCTCAAAGACACTGAAGGAGATGACAGATTATTTTTAAGTAACGTAGGGTTATAGTATTTCAATAAATGTCTGTACATTCCTAATCTTACACTGAATTTTATACTAATTTTTTTTTTCAACTGAATATAATATGTATGTATTATTCACTTTTGAAATGATTTTATTTTTGCCTAATGCATGCAGTCAAATCAAGCCACTGTATATATGTAAAGTAAAAAGTAAAGGATCCTTATCCATGCCTTCAGGCGTATTGGGCTTACAGGGCTTGACCCGTATTTTATGGACTAATCGGTACTTGGAATGTGATTTGGTCAACATGCATCCCGCCAGACAGTACATATATGTATTTAGATATTTTTTTGTTATCCGTCTATTCGATTATCCGTTACAGCCCTGGCCTGTGCACTGATGGTTAATCGAAGTTTCTTTCCCACTCATTCTCCCTCTCGCACGCATGCATGCGTGCGTGAATGCCTGTGTGTGTGTGTGTAAACATTCTGTCATACCGGCCCCCCAGAGGTTCATTACAACGAAAGATTACCTTTTCTGGAATACCATACAGTCTAATTGTAGCCTGAGTGATGATGCCCAAAGTCCCTTCAGATCCCACAAACAAGTTTGTCAAATTGTAGCCAGCAGATGTTTTCCTGATGAAAAGTGAAATAACAACATCCCAGTGTGGGTTCTGTGGCCCCATTTGAGGGGAAACAAACAAAATGAACCATTACTCTTAAAAAAAACATGTCTAACACCTTACTAATGTGTGATGAAATTGGAGGTGTTGAGCTAAAAGGCGTAAATATCACAGCCTAGCTGTCAATCACAATGCATCATGTCAATTGTCCCTGTAAGGCAGAACACAGATGAAGAAGTGGAGGAAGAATACCTAAAGAACAAAAGCTGTCAGTGGCAATTCAGTTGTCTGAATGTCTCAGCAGTAAAATACTTTGTTTTTAGACAATTTTAGCATAGCCACAGAAAATGTAGTCATAAGAGTGTAAGAGTAACAATGTTCAGTGTTCAGCTAAGAACTGGTACAATAACAATCGGGACATTCCCATAAACCATACAAGTAAGAAAAGCTTCTTTTTCGTGTTTGCCAGAAATAAGCTCCAGCTGAAAGTTCTGCTTGTTCATCCACTTCTGGACTTGTCGTTTTCAAGAACCTGAGATTTGCCTGCACATCCATTTTACACATTTTGTTTATTTGCAAGGCTCATTTCCCCCCCCCCCCCCCCACTCCCCCCCCCCCCCCTCCCAACCCGTAACCCACACTGGGAGTTAAGACCAGCAATAAGCAGGATAAAATACCCATGTCCAGACCTTGCAGTGTATTGTGTACAGAGTATAAGCTCCACATCCTTATACACCAATCAGCCCTCAATGAGTGACAGTCACCTTTCATGCTGGTCCTTCACAGGAATTTTCCTAGCACTTATTTTAGACTGGAGTTACCAAGCAGCCCCAATCAATGGTGCCCAAATCAATGGTGCCCAAATCAATGGTGCCCCAATCAATGGTGCCCAAATCAATGGTGCCCCAATCAATGGTGCCCCAATCAATGGTGCCCTGATCAATGGTGCCCCAATCAATGGTGCCCCAATCAATGGTGCCCCGATCAATGGTGCCCCAATCAATGGTGCCCCAATCAATGGTGCCCCAATCAATGGTGCCCCGATCAATGGTGCCCCAATCAATGGTGCCCCGATCAATGGTGCCCCGATCAATTTAAGTGGCTACCTAGATCAGGATTCCATCTAACAACAAGCATGCTAGACACTGTTCTAAAAACATAGCATAGCAGCCATGCTTAAAATAGAACAGAGAAACACAAACATTCTAGTGTAGATACTACACAACAGAGCATGACCTTCTCACTGCCTGAGCAATAGGAACAGTGTAATCTAACTGATAGTGTCTTATCAGCTGCATACAACTGCACTTTAAAAGTGTTTAGAACACCTGGCATTTACCCACAGAGCACATCAGAATTAAAAGGTATACAACATTAAATGCAAGAAATGTTGTAAATTTACAGATCTATGCATTGTGTATATGCAAGACAGGTGCAAGAAATGTAAGTTTACATATCTACACACTGTGTATACATGTCTATACTGTGTGTATATGCAAGATCATGTATAAGAAATGTACGGTTACATGTCTATAATGAGTATATGCAAGATTATGTGCAAGAAATGGTGAAAGGTTACATGTCTATAATGAGTATATGCAAGATTATGTGCAAGAAATGGTGAAAGGTTACATGTCTATAATGAGTAAATGCAAGATTATGTGCAAGAAATGGTGAAAAGTTACATGTCTTTAGAGAGTGTATGCAAGATTATGGGCAAGAAAGGTTGAAAGGTTACATGTCTATAAAGCGTATATGCAAAATTATGTGCAAGAAATTTTGAAAAATTACATGTCTACACTCGGTGTATTTGCAAGATTATGTGTAAGAAATATTAAAAGGTGAAATGTCTATTTTCTGTGTATATGCAGTTTTATGTACAAGAAATTTTAAAAGGTGACATGTCTATTCTCTGTGTATATGCAATATTATGTACAAAAAATATTCAAAGGTGACATATCTACACTCTGTGTATATGCATGATTTTGTACAAGAAATATTAAAAGGTGACATGTCTATTCTCTGTGTATATGCAATATTATGTACAAGCAATGTTAAAGGTTACATGTCTATACTACTCAACCCTAAAAAGTGGTTTTTAGAAAAAACATATTCTAGGTCACCACAGAAGGCCGATGGCCCAGTTTCCTAAATCACTGCCTTTGCTTCCCAGAAAAATTATGGGAACTGCCTGGTGCCGATTTTAATCAGGCCTCTGGGAAATGAAACTGGGCAACATCTCGGCAAGCAAGTGCACATAATAACTATGTCATCATGGGTCTAGCTTATAAAATCTCTCTATATGAGGGTCTTGTGGCTAGGTAGTTAGTGTGTGCCTAGAGCTTTCAAGGTCGGGTTCGTTTATTGGATTATGCTTCGGTTCATTAGTGAGAATTTAATTATAGAGATCAGGGATCATCACTAGAGCTATGAAGTTTGTGTTTTATGTGACACTCTCAGCAGGGCTAGCTGTTCTGGAGAAAGAGACTAGGCTATACAGGGTTAAATCCATAGTAATGAAGTCGATCACCTCGATTTTAAACGTTTCTTTTCATTTTTTTTTTTTTTTATATAGTAAAAGGGGGATGACATACAGCCTAATAAACACATCAGTGAAAGGAAAACGACAAAGCCAAACAAACATACCAAAGCCCACAAGCATGTAGATACTTACTTTGTTCTCCTTCCTTTCCCAGCAGTATCAAACACACGACCATCTGGAAGTACAACTTGCAGATTGAGAACATTCTCTCTCATGGTTCCATAGCGTACTGCATTAGTGCCTGACGCACTTGTGGCACACATTCCACATATAGAGGCATCTGCACCTGGATCTGTGAACAGACAGATAATACTATATATCTATCTATCCTAAGCACACATGAATGCACACACTTACCTACCATCTCTTTCTCTCTCTCTCTCTCTCTGTCTGTCTGTCTCTCTCTCTCTCTCTCTCTCTCTCTCTCTCTCTCTCTCTCTCTTTCTCTCTCTCTCTCTCTCTCTGGGACTAAGATTTTTTTTTAATACATACACCATAACAAATGAAAGAAACCCACAAAGGTCAGAAAATTCTATTATTTTCAATTGCAGGCGTACTTATCAATGAGATGGTTATTGTCAGATAAAGACATCCCCATGTGTGTTTCTAGGTCCCATTTGCTGGAGGGAGTGGAGGGAGTGGGGGGAGTGGAGGGAGTGGGGGAGTGGAGGGAGTGGGGGAGTGGTAGTAAAAAATAACAGCGCAAAAAAGTCAACTAATCAGGGGTGTAACCTACAAAGTCGTAGCACATTTGCCTGACCGGCGAGGACCAATAGTCTGCACATTTACAAGTCAGATCTGTAAAACAGATGTACAAGCAAGTTCTAGTTCTGGAACAAGAACAAAGTCCAGAAGTGGACGAACAACCAGAACTTTCCGCCAGAGTTACCAGCCAGTGAGCGCAAAGAGGAAAAAGAAGACAAAGGACATTACTATTATTTCTTCCTCTGCTTCTGCACACAGTAACGAATCTTCTTTTGGTAAATTCTCTCTTTCCATAAATCTGTCCAGTTATCATAAAATGCTCCAGTGTTTTCCTGCTCATAATAGGGTAAGATCCATGCTGTAAACGGACACAACGGAATTACATCGTTGGATGAACGCAGAAGAAGAAGAAGATATGGTAAGAAATTACAATTTTCTCTTTTTGATGTTTGTGGTAAGTTGTCTTCATTATTTTTTTTAAAAACCAACATCAACAATTGAACTCATACTCTTCCTCATATGGATTCCGGGGCTCCATTATGGAGGACAAAGAAACGACCCACTGCCCGCTAACAAGCATGTGGTAGGAGGTGACTAATTAGGGTGTTTCGTTCTAAATTGGAGTGCATCAGCCTGAGAGGTCAGGAACCACCAATCTGCAGTTAAATAAGCCAGATCTGTAAAACAGATGTGCACAGAAAACTGAAGTTCTGTAACAAGACCAAAAGTCCAGAAGTGGATGAACAACCAAACCAGAGTTTACATCCGGTGAATACCAAGAAGAAGAAATTATAAGGTGTTTCAATGTTGTTTTTTCTTCGCGTAATGTGGAAGAAAATGATGAAAATCTCTTTCTGGCGTTTGTGGTAAGTTGTTTTCATTGTTTTAAATCATAACCACCCACAATGGAACTCATACTAATAACTTATCCAGTCATTACATTCCCTCAAATTACCATAAAGTCTCTTATCAACAGAAGAAGAGAATAATCAAACCAGAAAGCCACCAAAACTAACACAAGACAATTACCATCTGTGCACAAAGCAAATCACTATTCTACGCCTCACAACAGGGCACAATCGACTTCACAGCCACATGTACACAAAATGTTTCTGCCGAATCAGCCATGTGCACATGTGGATTGGCACCTGAGACAACAGATCACATCCTCCAAGACTGCCTCTAATTCAACATTTCTAGGCAAAACTTCTGGCCAAGAAAGACAGTGGTGGAAGCCAAACTCTATGAGCTACTAAGTGAATTATAAAAGCCAGTAAAAGTTCATACCAGAGACAGCATTGCAGACATAGATCATTTATTTCAAGCAAACAAAAAAAGAAGAAGATCATCAAGTGGTAGTCTATAAGCACAGCACCTGGAAGCGAGTTAAAGTAAATATTTTAGGATCATGCCTCTGTCCATCTGCAAATTATTGAAAAGATCATGGACTCTTTTTCAGTCAATGAAGAAAAAGAGCTTTTAAACTGAAATGCTACAGATTGTTGTTAAGAATACCATGCACCAAGAAAAAGAAAAACACTGAAATCCTACATGATCTGAGCACTGAGAAGAACTGGCTCATAAACAGCATCCTGTGCCCAAAGCTGAGGTATTTTGGCCATGTCAAAAGTCAAGGTGGCCTGGAGAAAACAGTGATGGAGGGTACAGTTTCCTAAAACAAGACAGAGGCAGACCACAGCAAATGTGAACAGAAGACACTGAGTAGCATTGGCTATGAAAGCACGTAGGTTAGAGACTTTCAGATGTGTCCTTACGAGAGCAACGTTCTGTAAAGAACCTGCTAATTTAAGATTATGGTATATTATTTCTTTCTAATGGGGTAGATAGATTTCTGTTTCTTTAGAAGCTGTGGCAATATAGTAGCTAGACACTCGCCTGCCATCCCAAAGATACTGGGTTCAAATCTGCATCGTAGCAGACTTTTTTTTTCAAGAATTAATTTTGCTCCTAGATTGACCCAACCTAAAATGGGCACCAGGGAAGTAAAAGCAGTCAGCATTATGGTGACCCCATCACTTATCGCAGGCTGACTGGTCTATACAAAGATGAGTCTAGCATCATATACTATGGGTTCCAGGGCCCTATTATAGGGAAAACAAGAATGGACCCACTGCTTACCCAAAAGCATGTCGTAAAAGTTGACTAATTGGGAGCTTCCTTCCAAGTCGAAGTGCATCTGCCTGAGAGGCAAGGAACCAACAGTCTAAGCATAAAGGACTCAGATCTGTCAAACACATGCAGGTTCTGAAACCGGGCTGAAGTCCAGAAGAGGACGAACAACCAGAACTTTCCGCCAGAGTTTACAGCCAGTAAACGCAAAGAAGAAGAAGAAGAATAAACTGTGAGCCACTGGCATAAAAAAGATTCTTTAATTACCTTCTGTTTTAATTATATTTGCCTCTACTGACTGACATGCAAGAATGCATGCATAGGCACACATACAGACAGTCTTTCCTGAACTAATTATAGTCAATGAAATCAACAAATGCACAGTTAACAGATCTTTTATTGCCCTGTAATATAAAAAATATAGGAATGTTGGTTCGAAATTATCTTTCATCAACAATGTGTGCTTCAGAATCACCACTAAATTTACACTCAGTAAAACTCACCAATAGGAAACCACAGACCAGTATCCCTAAGGAAAGTGTTGAGAGCTATTCGCATGACACCTGGCTGGACAGTGCAGTCAAAATCTTGGCTGTTCAACTCCACAATCTTATTCATTTTGTTCATGTTCAGAGCAACTCCTCCCTGTAAAAAATAATAATTTTACATTAAGCTTTAAAATAATGCACAGTAAAAACTGATGAAGCTGAATGAGTGCTTGGCTTCCAACTGGAAATTAAAAGACAGAAAAAGAAGAAACGCATTTCAAGAAAGATCCAATATTGCTCGGGTGCTCTTGTTTTCCAGGGTGTTGTGAATAGTACTACTGATATAGAAAGTTGTCAAGGGGTTTTTAACAAGTTCTTGAAAATCTTGACCAGGCAAAGATTCAGGTTCAACAGTTTCATATTGTAACAGCATCATCAGTTTGTTTTTGTCATCCTCATGGTAGAACTATAACCATACTTTTTCATTTCTTATACTGGTAATCGTCATTATTGGGTCATCTTCTTTAGGTTTCTTAGGTGAAATTAAATACATTACAATACATTATATACTACTCTTCAGAAGTAAAAGGTCATCCTGTTATTTTCAACACACTTTTATATATAGAATGATAAATGAAGAAATTTGATCTGCTGGCCATAAATTCAAAATCTAAATCTGTATTTTTTTTTTTTCAAACAGGTAGAGTAATCTTGCTGATTGACATTATATTTTTTAAAGCAACAGCGTAGTTGGCTAAACCGGACTGCGCAGTGACCGGGTAACAAGCTCCTTATGGTCCGGGTTCCCGCCCGGGGGTAGGCAGAAAAGCCACATTTCTCCCAGATTAACGGTATTTATCATGGAATCAAGGCCGAAGGGTTGCGATATCCATAATACCGAGCCAAAGGGTTAACAACTCATGGCTTCTGGATACTTAAAAAAAAGCAACTGTTTTCGCTCTCTATGTGTTTAACAATCAGCAGACTTAGGGTATGTTTCCTCACTTGCAAAAACCATGCCATCAAAAAGATGTCTTGAGGACTTACAAAGAATAGGAACTACAGCATATGCTGAAAGTGGATAATCGATCCGTTGTCGTGGAATGGCCAAAACCACCCCTACACAATGGACCATTCGTGACGCTGGCCCCCTAGTGGGCAGGTCACATTCAAATATAGACCCGTCCAATGGGTATATAGTCCATGTTGTCTGTTTATACCTATATATGACGGAATACATGTCTATATGTTCTGAGTCTCTTGAAAGGTCTACATTTTCAAACTCACAGTTGTAGGGTAGAGATTCTCTGGATTATTATTCTTTATCCGAGGAGACGATTCACTCCTCGGCGTATTGATCTGGCAGACTACTTTCTTTTAAAGTGACGCCAAGTCCCCCCCCCCCCCCAATTCTCAGTCGGGCTTTCAAGTAGAACAAAGTGTTTTGCCTTTGTGCTTAATTATGTCTAGAACGAAGTACCAGTTTATTACCTGGAGAAACCCTGAGCTTGGGTAAGTCGATTATAGTTTACGAGTACCATGTATCTATAGCTATATGTGTAACCCGCTGCTGATGAGAGGGATGATTCGGCTATGAGACATTACAGAGCGAGACTGTTCTTGGTGTCAAAATACTCCCGGCCACCTAAATCAAACCTTCCCCTTTTCAAGCTGAGAGTATGTGCCCTACCTTACCCAACATTAGGATAAATGATTTAATCTAGCAGTCAAATCGTTTCATAACTAGCTAGTTGGGATTTTGGATGGCGACATCGAAGCTGGCAGATTTAATTGGGTCAGCGCACAGCTTCTCCGCGCGGGTTATTTATAGGAAACTCAGAGTAGACTAGGGTCAGACTACAGGTGCAGATGAGGATGTGGAGAGATGATGTTCTCTGTCTGATAGAGTCTGTCTGTCTCCACTGTGGACCTTGTCTCATGTCTCTTATCCTGACTGACTGACAGAGATACATGGAGGCTACTACTGTCTCATTGTCCTAAGAGCTGTCCTCTGAGTGATTACAAAGTGTGGATAATCACAAAATGTGCTAGGCATGTGAACTGTGAGATGACTGCTAATTCTGAGTTCCTTCTTGTCACAGGATGATATCTCCTTGGAAGCCAGGTAGTCAATCAGCAGTCCATAAAACCACCAACATGGAACCATCAACATGTAAGCCAGCTTGTGGGCCAGGTTGTACTACAGCTTGCAAGCCACCAATTTGTCTTCCACCAGATAGTAATCCTCCAGCTTGTCAACAGACATTATCATGGGTGATGCACCTTCACCATCCTTTTGTCCAGCAGTTGTTCAGGGCTACCAGTAACAGACTTAGTGCCAGAGTACCCTCTCAATGAGCTTGTTTGTGCCTCCAGTGATCTAGAACAGAGTTTGACTGTCTTTACCAGATCAACAGTGCGATTGAACATTCCCAAAAGTGTCAGCCAGTCCAAGTAACCATGAAACAGATGAGTGCAGTGTCCAGAAGTGTAATCAGATAAGTGGCATCAGTCGATGGTTCAATGCTATGCTTGTCTATTAATAGTCCACATGTACACTGTGATGAAGTATGGTGGCCTCTGGGAATCTCTAAGAGGACCAGTTAGACATATTGTGTTTTTGGTCTCCCATCATTCTGGTTGTTCTTGAATTTCTTTGCTTGACTCTTATATGATGTATATGTTGAATTTATTACATGTCTTTGGAATTTTTCATTATTGACTTGAGTGTCCATCATCATTCACTGTTCTTAGCTGCCTGGAGTATATCTATGTATAAACAGTAATCTTAATCTGTGTTAACATGACTATGATAGTGAACTATCTATGTATAAACAGTAATCTTAATCTGTGTTAACATGACTATGATAGTGAACTATCATAGTCTGGGGGCTATTTTCTTGTAGTAGTGGAGACGTCCGGCCAAGTTGCGCCTAGGAATATATATATATATTCTGTAGTGCCATAACTTGTGTTGCCCTACTCCTGAAATATGTATATTGGCCGCGGGATATCGCCTAGACCAATATGAGCCGATATCCCAACATTTATACTATTTCGGAGTGCTGTTGGTTCATAAGAAGATCAGGCATGTGACACGAGCGGTATGTGACATCCTTGAAGTTGCCAGAAGGCTTCCAGTGTCACACTCTGCTATCCACAGAATTTTGGAGAGAATTCAGGCCACAGAAAGTGTGAAGGATCGCCATCGACTTGGTCGCCCTAGAAACACCAACAGACATGATGATTGGTACCTCTTGTCAACCCTGCACCATCGAACAGTGACTTGTTTTACTCTAAGATATCAGTTAAGACAAACAGTAAATGTTAATGTCAGCCATAGCACATTTACAGATGCAAACATGAATCTGGACTGGCTGCTCGATGTCCTTCTGTCAAAATTCCTTTTACTCCTCCTCATTGCAGAGACCGCGATGCTTGGTGTCGCCAGCACATCCAATGGACAAGGCAACAATGTAGTCAAGTCCTATTCAATGATGAATCTCACTTTACTGTGTCACTCAATGCTGGCAGGATTCGAGTGTGGAGACAACCAAGAAAGCAATTTACTGATGACACAAACCGAGAATCGAAGCTGCAGTGGTCTAGCGGCTAGACCCTCGCCTGCTGATGGGAAGGTCGTGGGTTCGAGTCCTGACAGGGTCCTGACTTTTTAAAATAAAAATGACCTTGCCTACTAAGTCAACCCAGCCTTGAGTGGATACTAGGTTCAGTCCTGGGAAGTAAAGGTGGTTGGAGTGATGTTGACCACATCACCCTTTCAAGTACCGTTTGGTCTATAAAACATAGGTCTTGCCCTATACACCCAATACGCATGAAGGCGTGTTAAAGGGTCCTTTACTTACAAACCGAGAGAGGTGTCATTATGGCAGGGGTTCTGTCATGGTCTGGACAGGCTTCTACACATGACAGAACCACACTCTACATCATCCAAGGCAACTTGAATGCCCCTAGATGCTAGAATGACATCTTGAGACCAACTGTTGAGCACGCTCTGGAAGCCATAGGTGGTAATGCCATCCTCCAAGATGATAACGCTCAACCCGATAGAGCTCACATGGTAAATGACTTTATTCAGCAGCATGGGATCCTCAGGATGGCGTGGCCAGCTCATTCACCTGACCTTCCTGACTGAGCATCTCTGGGATGACCCTGGTTGAAAATTGTCAACAAATCACCTCCTGCCAATGGATGTTACACAACTGACGGCGAGAAGTTCGTCTGGATACTTTTCAGACCCTTGTGGACTCGATGCGTCTAAGCTGTCTTGAATGCCTAGCTGCAATCTGTCGTCATACCCGATTCTAAAATGTCTAGTTGTCCAATATCTATTGTGTGAATTTTGAAAAAGTGTGCGGCACACATCACAGATTCATTGCATTTGATACTGCATTTCAATTTTTTTACATAACATGTCACTCTGGTATCCAATAAATGCCATTTTTTCTGAGATTATTTATGTTTCTATCAGATATGTTTTATGGTTTCAATCAAGGTTTTTCTTTAAGTGGCCCTTTACTTTTGACCAGTAGTGTAATTTACTCTGCACATTTAGGTTTCTTACATTAATCACAGACTGAAATCTGATCTCTCCAAACACACTGACCTCTTGTCCACAGTTAGTCACAGGGCCTATACTTTCCATTTCCAGCATAGCAGCCAGCTTGCTTTCAGCAAGAATCTGTTCTTGCAATGGTCATAACTTCTGTTGTTGTTGGGTTTTTTTTCAATGCTACTTATAATAATTTTTTTCCCCTACATCGGGGTATCTCTGCAGCTCTTCCTCTATAGGAGGAACAACTATGACAAAATGGATGAAAACACATGGGATAGAAAACTGGACAGGAGAAGGAACAGCTATGACAAAATGGATGAAAACACATGGGACAGAAGAATGGACAGGAGGAGGAACATCTATGACAAAATGGATGAAAACACACGGGACAGAAGACTGGACAGAAATGATCAACACCCCACAGCATCCACTATTAGGATTTTTCTAAAAATATTTACTGATGTTAATTTACTGACCTCCAATGCATTAACACCACCTTCAAGGCCTGTCCCGCTCCCAAAGGGGATGAGAGGGACTCGGTTATCATTACAGAACTTAGCAACTTGGCTCACTTGCTCAACTGACTCAGCAAACACCACAACATCTGGTAGTGACGAACTAATGAGAAACAAATACGTATGTTAACAAAGACAAATAATACTCTATTTCACTACAGTATTTTAAAATTAATAAAACAACAAGTAAAACAAATAACAAGTAAATGGTATGGTAGCTGGTGCAATCACATGCTGGCCTGATAGTCCTGGAATCAAATCATTCTTCTTCTTCTTCTTTGTGTTCACCAGCTGTAAACTGTGGCTGAAAGTTCTGGTTGTTCATCCACTTCTGGACTGCAGTCCTGTCCCAGAACCTGAGTGTTGCGTGTGCATCCCTTTTACAGATCTGACTCATTTCAATGCAGACTGCTGGTTCCTTGCCTCTTAGGCAGATGGACTCCGACTTTGAAGGAAGCTCCCAATAAGTCGACTCTTACGACATGCTTCTGGGTAGGCAGTGAGTCATTTCTTGTTTTCCCTATTACAGGGCACCGGGACCCACACAGGAAAAATCCTTCTAAGATTATAACTTTCTTTATAATCATAGGACTCTAAAAAAAAAGGGGGAGGGTGGTGGTGGGGGGGGGGGGGGGGGGGGGGGGGGGGAGGGGTTGGCATGGGGAACATTTTCTTTTTTAATATATGTACAATTTGCCCTAGGTAAGATAACCACAACTAGAACAGATGGATACTTACGCATGGTGGGATTCATCGTGTCCATGCTGCTCTCTAACAGCATCTGAAGTAGAAACATTCTGATCACCAACAATCTTCCTCAGTGCTCCAACAAATGTGCTCGTAACACTGGCTTGTTTCGCCTTGGTCAATACAACAGTTAACAGAAAATTATAATCAAAACTTTCAGATCAGTTTTGCATTTGTTTTCCTATATAAATCTCTTCAATTCAATAATAAAATTCAACATTTTTAGAGCATGTTCTCCTATTCTTCTTCGCGTTCACCTGCTGTAAACTCCGGCGAAAAGTTCTGGTTGTTCATCCACCTCTGGACTTTAGACTTGTACAAGAACCTGAGTGGTGTGTGCATATACGTTTTACAGATCTGACGTTGTATGCAGACTGTTGGTTCCTTGCCTCTCAAGCAGATGCACTCCGACTTCAAAGGAAACCCCCAATTAGTCAACTCTTATGACAAGCTTGTTGGGGAGGCAGTGGGTCTTTTCCTGTTTACTCCACAACAGGATCCTGGAACCCACACAGTGTGTTCTGGTTTACATGCTAGATATTTGCAATTTCTGATTAGCATACATCCACCGCAAAATGGACTACAGGTTACATCCCAACTATCAGATGCCCTAATATAACTGTGAGTACCATGAAGCTAAAGGTTTTTGTTGGAATCTCATCCAAAAAGTGTCTCAGATGCAGCATGCAATTCTAGACCCCCAAACGCCCCCCCCCCCCCCCCCCCCCCCCCCCCCCCCCCCCCCCCCCCCCCCCCCCCCCCCTCCATCCCCCAATTATAATCTGGATCAGATCTGATGTATTCCACCTCTATGACTGCTACTTGAAGATCTGACAATACTATTTCATAAGCTGTATTTCGGATGTCAACCGTTTGTTACCCTGTTAGGTAAGTAAGAGTTAACTCTTTGAGTCCCAGGGAACGCATCACGTACTAATTTGTTACAACCGACAGGCCCAATCGACGCGTGACAAGTGAAGGTTTTTAATTTACCGCTGACCGGTCATAAAACGTGGACCGCTCAATTTCAACTTTATTTCAAGTTGTTTGTGTTTGATATGAGGCGTGCTCATTTTAAAACGTGGTCTGAGAGCCGAAAATATAGTATATTTGCAAGATTTACCGGGTTAATAAGCGTTTTTTTTAAAGAATATGGCCACCAGGTATTCTACATGCATGCCAGCATGATTTACGGCTTTAGAAGCCTCAAATCTAAATAATGAAGGTGTTTATTAGATGTATCACAAGTTAGATAGATAACGTTGCAAATTAGATGTGTTTCAGTCATTTATAGAGTCAAACTTTGATGAAGGATATGTCTAATGTGTACCTCACGCAAAGGTACAACGATAGCAAAGTCAGCTGGCACAAATAGAATAAACATTGGTGAAAATACAATTTTTTTCAGTGTCAGTTAGTTCTTGTGCTATTTCTCTTATTATTTAGGAACATAGCTACAGAATTTAATGCAAACTGAGTGTTATATAAACTTTGTTTTGTGTGAAGATACTTATTGTTTTGGGAGTCATGTTTTTTTTAACCAAATAATGGTGCTCTGTTATGATGCTTCAAAAGATTCTTTGAAACAAAATCTAACGTATAGCTTGGGTTTATATTTTACTTATACATTACTAAGTGGACATTCATTTGTGATTCATTGTGGATATATTTTAACCAGTTTTCATTGAGTGCCATGCTAGTAAGTGTAATTTTTTAGATTTCATTTTACTAATTTTTGTAAACATACTGTTGTCTGTTTATGTACTAATATTTAATTACTAATGCAAGTGTTTGTCGTAGCTGTATTCTATAATTATTCCTCAACAATCCCTGGTCACTTTGATGTATAATATGTGTATGTTGCACTACAACTGAATTAGTATGGTCTGTTTTAATGTGTTACACTTGTGAAATTAAAAAATTGCATTACCACCCCTTGGGCCTCTGATGCTAAACCCCCTGGGACTCAAAAAGTTAATACCCATCATACCTCTTTATCCAGTTGTTTTCACTTTGTGTATATCATGTTACATCTTGTATTTGTTTCGTAAATTCATTTTAATCCTTTCTACCCGAGAAGTCACTTAACCTGTCTTTCTACAGTAGTGTTTTCAAAGGCGCTTAGTTACTGCCATTGGTTGTGTGTATGCTCGTGCAGCATTTAAGAGGCTGGGACATTAATATGTTGATTTTTTTTTAAAGCATTCATGCAGGTTTTCTTATGAATAGGCTTATGAATTTTCCCACAGCCTTAGAGTATGAGTATGGGAGTATGAGCCCCTGATGCGTTTCTGGGTCTGGTGAATGAAGTCGTTATTTTATTACTCTGTTCATGTCTACTGATAACTTTCTTACATATTTTTAACAAAAGAAATTTGTTTAATATATGTTTTTAAGTCACGTAGGTAAAATGTTTGCCAAGATTCTGGAACAACCAATTAGATCTGTTGTAGAACCAATTCTGAGCCCAGCACAGGTCGGATTCAGGAAAGGATGAGGGTGTACTGATGCTATTTTCGCCATAGGGCAAATTAGTGAAAAGACGATAGAACACAGACACCAAATGAACATCGCTTTTAAAGATCAAGAAAACGCTTCTGATAAAGATTTATTATAGGATGTCCTTGAAAACTATGGTATAAATGGAACAGTGCTAGACTGTAAGAGCTATGTATAAAGTGAAAGTGAAAGCGCCGTCAGAACAAGAGCTGGCCTCATAGACTGTTTCCCAGTAACATCAGGAGTAAGGCAAGGGCGTGTTTTTTTCACCTTCACTTTTTATAATATTCATGGACAATATTAATAAAATAGACGTAACACCACCAGATGTCGATAAACACGAGGACTTCAATGAGCTGCTCTTTGCCGATGGATCAGTGCCTATTCCACAGTGAAAAAAACAGCTGAAGGACCACATAAACCAACTACACAACAACTGTCTTAAACATCACATGAGGATCAATACTGAAAAAAAACAGAAGTCATGAGAATAAGTAGAGAGCAACAAACCATCGACATAAAGATCAAAACCTGAAACAAGTGCAAGAATTTAAATACTTGAGAAGCATCTTTACACACAATGGTAAAATAGACAGAGATATAGAAACAAGAATTCAACAAGCCAACAATGTCACATATCAACTTTGAATGTTTTCTTATCTGGACTTTTCCACAGGTATAATTGTCTCTTATATTGTTTAAACCAAATGTTTCCAATCAGCATATCATTTTTTACCCACTCTACCAGTGTTTCACCTCTTTGATTTCTTGATCCCAAACCATAATCCCCAACTACATCTTCCGTTCTCTCTTTCCCAACTTTTGAATTGAAATCTCCGGATATTATTTTAATTTCTTGTGATTTTGTCTGGGCTATTGCTAAATCTAAATCTTTGTAAAATTGTTCTAATTCCTCTTCAAGGCTAACTGATGTTGGGGCATACACTTGTATTATGTTTATATTTATTGGTTTGCTTTTGATTTTAACCATAATGACCCTATCTGATATACTCCAGTAACCCACAATTGCTTTTGCTGTTTCTTTATCAAAAAGTATCCCCACCCCCTTGTCATATTTGTCGCTTCCCGAGTAAATTATTGTGTACTTATCTTTTCTGATCTTTCCAGCACCCTTCTATCTCATTTCACTCATTCCTAGGACGTTTATCTTCATACATTCCATTTCTTTTATACCATTTTATGTCTTTCCCAATTCTGCCAGTGTTCTCACATTCCACGTTGCTATTTTAACACTTTTCATTGTCACAACTTTTTAAAAATTGCCATCAGTAACCTGATGACGTTCTGGTGTCACCTGTGACTGGTGACTGTCTCTACTGGATGAGGTTGTCCTTAAGACTTCCATTAACGTCATTCCTGTGATTCAATCTGTGTTTCATCATGAAATATCTTGGGAATATAATGTGGTGGTTTCCCATTACCTTCCACATCCACAAGGGGTATTTTAACCTGCATCTTTGACAGTAATTTCTGACTGTTGGGACAAGTGGGTGCCCTTCTCTGCCCAGCTGCGAAGTGATCCACTTATTCCAGCTGATACTCAGTCCCCATATCTGCTTTAGCCACACCATGGTGTGTTTCTCATCCTCCACCACTTGGAGGTGCAGTTTGGGACACCACTCAGAGGTGCAGTTTGGGACACCACTCAGAGGTGCAGTTTGGGACACCACTCAGAGGTGCAGTTTGGGACACCACTCAGAGGTGCAGTTTGGGACACCACTCAGAGGTGCAGTTTGGGATTTTCCCTTTCATCAAATTTGAGACCAGGATGGCATTTCTCAAACTCTCCAAGTACTTTCACTTTCAGGAGGAACAGGACATATCCGTCTCAACTACTACAAGCATTAAGAAAAAGGAAAGCAGAAGAACAAGCACAACAAGAATAAAAAGAACGTAAATAGCAGTAAGGTAAACAGAAGAACAACTGTGAAAACAGGACACTGGCGTTGACACACAGTGTCCTGTTTACTTTTCAGTAACAGTAACGGTAGTTGGTGATGAGTAGTAGTACACATGATGATGATGGTTTGCTCTATTTAAACTCTTAGTAAACTGTACGGTGACCGTGTTGTGATGTTGATGTAACTTTCTTCACTGTGTGGATTGTTATCTGAAGTTACTAGTTAAATCCTCACTACTTACCGGCACTGAATAGTTTCTTGCAACTACTTGTATAGTTTTGTGAGCTCTAGTTAAAGAGCGTAATAAGTTGACAGAAGAATACATGTCTGTGGTGAGAGACAGAAGCTGTTAGACGGAGCAGACGACTGACTGACTACAGCTGGAACTTGGCTGTTACAGAATGTCGGCCATGGTACACAGTACACACAGGGGACAGTTCTCTCAGCTGGCACAAGTTAAACGTAGACGGGGTCTTACAATTTTCACCTTCATTTAAAAAACATAGTTTTCTTGCCTACGTGAAAACAAATGATTCATTAGAAGAGACAGTGAATTTTTGCAAGTCTAATGTAATATATTTTGCAGTATTTTTGTAGTTATGAAACAAACAAACCCGTTTATAAAAGTGTGTAATTGTTGTTGTTTTGTTACTTATGAAAATAATGCATTTCAAGCTGGCACACAAAGACCACCGGACCCTCGGTAGCACAATGCCTGCGACGATTATCTATCGATTTCTTTGGGGAACACTACGCCGCTTCTCTCTCTCTCTCTCTCTCTCTCTCTATATATATATATATATATATATATATATATATATATATATATATATATATATATATATATTATATATATATATATATATATATATATATATATGTGTGTATATATATATATATATATATATATATATATATATATATATATATATATATATATATATATATGTTGTGTGTGTGTGTATATATATATATATATATATATATATATATATATATATATATATATTAGGCGCCCTGCCACGAAGTTAAATGACCGGGATCCACCCCGCCTTACAAATGATGTAGTCAAAACTGGAAGTGGGAGAAGGGACGCTTGACTCAATATACAGAGTACAAAAACACTGCAGAGAGAGAAGGTTCAAACCCCACCCCAACCACGCCTTCCTCGTCAACTAGGCAAACAATAGGATGGAAGCCCTATTAGAAAAAAACAAATTAGGCAAACCCCCAAATCAAGCCCTCATCACCTTCCAAACTTTCTATTTAAATGATGGTACGTGTTTGTGCTTTTTGGGAGGAAAGGGGAGCTTCAAGTCCTGCAGTGCCCAACCCATTAATTCTCTAATGGGGCTATAAAGCACCCTGTTAACTATGTATATAAATTATTTATTAGTGTATTTTGTTATGCATTTATTATTATTTCAAGTATATTATTATATGTTTTTTAGCATCCCACACATTATTATTAATTTGTTATCTTTGCTGTGAATAGCAAGTGAATATAATTATATACTTGAAATAATATGAAATTATAAGCAATTACTTTTACAATAAATTTCCAATAAATAATTACAAGGGGTCTCTAAGACTTCTTACTGATTACTGAGGACAGGAGGAGGGGCAAGGCCCCCATTTTTTCCCCCTTATGTATATGCTATCCAAGGTTCCGGCACCTATGTCCTGTGTGAACATCCCCTTCCCCCAAATTCCCCCCCCCCCCCCCCCCCCCCCCACACCTCGTCAACCTAGGTTTTCAGATTCCAAATCTGCCGTTTTTCTAGTTGGGAAACGATTCTGTTTTCCTCAATAATACAAAGCAGTCTCCATGTTATTTTAAGTTATGGCAAAATCAGACACGACTATCTTATCTGTGTATTCTAATTGCTGTCACGGGAAGCTGTTGGATAAAACCTACCTCTTGTATTCCTAGACACGAAACTAAGTAAACACTATCGCGCTGAATGTTATTATATGTTAGGACAGACGAGATATATCACAAAGGTAGGGTGGTTCTATCTGAAGTCATTGCAAGTCACGTGAAGTCGCTGGACTGCTCTTTATAATAAGCTCCTTCATCAGAGAGCTTGCGCTAATTATTGTATTTATGGGGGGGGGGGCGCTCAACGGCACGATCCTCTAGGTTCCAGCACCTTTGTCCTGTGTATATGAATATAAAAGCCACATTAGCTTCAGGCCTATAATTATATGTCACAACACAATAACACCTTCCCTATTCATGGATCAACAAAACACAAATTGTAAGGACAAAGTAGATAAGTAAATACCTAAATAAGAGCTTAATGTTGTCCAGCAAATATCTAAAAGTAGATTAGCACGAAATATGACCAGGCAGCTGTGGTAAGATACTAATAGAAGCTAATAACGAGCAACTCCTTTATAAAGCACACACACACGTGCGCGCGCGCTTACAGAAAACGACAAACAGCATTTCTGGTGGCGATTGTTAGCTTTGGCGCATCTAGCAACTGCCATTTGTATTTACTGCGTGCCAATATTTCTAGATTGTACCGGTATAACTGTTTGTTCATCAGTTTTTCAAATGGGATTTTGATGGACATTTCATTTGATTTTTACCGGCATAAGACCGGAGCAAGTATGGGGTGGCCCAATTGCAGTGAAACTGAAACCTCGACTAAAACTAAGTACACAGAAAACAGAATGTGGTGATTTCGGTCAAATGCATAAGGGAATATTAAGGCCGCTGTGCTGCGTGTCTAGGAATACATTATACCCCACCTTGGGCACCAGCGGGTTGTGTGCTTGTTTTGGAGACAATCGTGTAAGGCTCCTGCCATATCTCCTATTTGTACGCCGCGGCTAAATGGTTATAATTGCTCTAAGCCGAATTAACAGAGAACTTCCGGGTTGGTGACGCCTAAAAGTGAACTAACTTCGAAATTGAAAAGCTTAGGCACACACTCTCACCAAAAAGTAGATGACATGCTCAGAAAAGAGTGTTCTACCATTTAAAAAGAAAAATAATTCATAAGTCCACTGAGTACCATAATTACAAAATGGCAGTCTTAATTCAAATGTAGACAGCAACTGCTATCACCAAGAATGTAATTCAGTGGACCCCTACAAAACAGTTTACAGATCTGGACTTCGCTCATATTTCTCTTCTGTCCCACTTACGGAATTAAATGCAAGACACATTAGATATACACGAGGTGAGATATCAACTGCTAGGTCTGAAAATTCATAAAGGAAAGACACAGATAATGGGGGTTAGAAAAGCAGAAGAAGAATTCAAATGTCCACCGACGAGAATTTTATTGACATGTCAAGTTATCGTAGAAGTTGTAAATTAAACCACAACATCCTGTTCAACCCATCCGGGTTATAATTAGAATATATATATATATATATATATATATATATATATATATATATATATATATATATATATATATATATAAAGGGTTTTCTTTTGTATTTTCTATTCTAAAATAGGTATTTGTGTCCAATAATTATTATGCAATAGTGTAAAGTTTATGTATTTTTCTTGTATAAGGATGTGGAGATGAAGATTGTCACATTCAATATATTTTAAGTGTAAGTTCAAGTTATCGGGTGAAATGGCGAACTACAATGCCGTACGCTTATCGGCATGGAGCTTAGCTATACGATTACTCCAGATCTCATTGCTACCCACTCTATTAATTCTTCCCGTGCTACTTCGGATATTTACTATCACTCCTTCCTTGTTTGGCACCCCCGAGGGAGGGGGGTGGTAGGAAAGAGGACAGAAAAGGCCTTATATAGATACTCAAAACTGCTCTCAGTTCTTTCGGCATCAACACAGCAACATAGGAAGCTGCTGCACGGGACCGTGCTTGGTGGCGTACATTCCTAATGCAAGGTGCATCAGCCTGCTAGTCAGAAGATGTTGCACAGGCAGAGAAAGGGAGACAGACTTTTAAAAAATCGCATCGTTAATCCTGCACTGCTCAAGAACTTTTGACTCATATGGGACTGATCAGCCAGCCACCTTCGTACTCATAATCATTGATCATAACTACTTTGGATAAAAAAAGTGGTCTTCATCACTGGTGATGGACGAACAACAACCACCCCGAGAACCATGGACGAGAATTAGGCCAGTCTGCAGAACAATTAAACATTTTTTAGAAGCTGCAACAGAGGGACGAGAACACGGAGGACAAATATAAAGCGCAATAAATATTTTTTTAAAGAAACTAACAGCTTATAGAAAATGCAAACGCATCAAAAGACAAACCAGAAGAGGAGAAAACAAATAAAAGGGACAACTGGAAAAAATATCGGGGGGGGGGGGGGGGGGGGGGGGGGGGGGGGGGGGGGGGGGGGGGGGGGGGGGGGGGGGGGGGGTTAAAGTGGGTACAAACGCACTCCCACATAGAAAATGTTGAGGGGAAGTCTCCCCCCCCCCCCCTAGTTTTCTAGGGTCGTGACACGAAACTCAATTCTTTTTTTTTTTAATTTCCCAATAATAATAACAATAATAATAGCCTATAATATTCATTAATATTGTGCATTACACCAGGCTTAAACACGCTGAGGTGCCCGCTCCTAAAAAAATTATTGGATTAAGGTCTCAGAAGGGTGAAGCCTAGTTTAATTGAAGAATAATAATACTAATAATAATAGTTATTATTATTATTAAGGTGCTGAATGGCAAATAAATAATAAACAGGGGTACCTGGGTATATTATTATTACTGGAGGCTGGGGAAAGAAGTTTCGTCTGCTATATAGATTTAACATATGGCTGTAAATCCTGGCCAGTTAATAAACAAGCCAAACAATTTTGGAGGGCCTCAGAGATGTGGTTTTACAGAAGAATCCTTAGAATTCTATGGACAGTCCCCCCCCCCCCCCTTTCCCCCCCCCCCCAAAAAATAGAACAACCGAGATGTTTTGGAATAGTTGAGGGCTGGAAGACAACTTATTACAAACATGAGAAAGAGACAATTATCATTTGTGGTTATGTTATGAGAAGAGGGAATCTTGAACATATTGTGACCACTGGAAAGATCAGCGGAAGGAGAGATAGAGGAAGACAAAGTAAGAAGATTCTCGTCAGCCTTTTGTCCTGGCATGGAGGGGTGTCAGCACCCGAAATGATACATGCAGTTGCAGATTGTAGATTGCGGATAGACATGATTGCTCACACCAGTCAACACAGCACTTGATGTTGATGATAACAATGATCTTGGTTTGAGCCCTTTATCTATTCCAGGCCCGTGGACGCATACCAAACAGGACTTACACCAAACGCATGATACTATGAGAAATAAAATCTAGTAACGGACTTCTTTCCACGATTTTACCTGGTAGCCATTGAAAATTGGTTGACATGGGAGCCAAGGTCATTTTTTTAAAAGATTCCGGCTCCATCGGGATCTGAACCCACGACCTTCCGATCTGTAAGCTTACGTCTACCCGCAACACCATGGCTGCTCTTAGAAAAGTATAGAGAGTAGGATTAATCAGTTCCTGTATAAAGCAAATCCTATTCTTATTGACATAGTATGCCTTGATAGTTAAACAGTATTAAAAGTATATGGTTAAGCACCAGCAAGGAGCTCAAATTTTGAATTTTAAGGGCATGCATCTTCCCTGTAGCAACGTATGAATGTAAGTCGTGGACTATCTCCCATAGAATAGGGGCTTTTGAGCTGAAATGCTATAGAAAAATTCTCAAAATATCATGGACAAAGAGAGGAGAAATACTGACATTTTGAAAGATCTGAACATCAAGGAAGATTGGCTAATAAACAGCATCCTGTCTCGGAGCTGAAATATTTTGGTCATATCAAGCGCCACGACAGATTGGAAAAAAATTATAACAGAAGGCATGACACTAGGAAGGAGGAGCAGGGCGCCGACCAACACGAATATGGACACAGGATATAAGTGACTCTTTGAGTATGAAACTACATAAGGCGGGAGAGCTGGCGAGAGACCGAGTTTCTTTCAGGCAGACCGTGATGAGAGCCACGTTCTGCAAAGATCCTGCTACATGATGATGATGATATCTTGATAGGGTTGCCTACTACTAAAATACACAAATACAAAAGCAACTGAGTGAAATAAATGACGATTCAACCTATTTTTTTTGCTGAAAAGAGTCGAATGCCTACTAGGATCGTGCTTGGAAAGGAATAGGAGGATGTGCTATTGTTGAGAAGAGTTCACTTCCAATAAATTTCAGGAATCTGAAACTCTGATTTTGTTTATCTCATTTTTTGTTCTGTCTCTATTCTCTACTAAGACGTAACTGAGGCTCACCAGGTTTGACCTTCACTAAAAATCTGACTAAATAACCTTGCTTCTGTCTTCTGCTTATGAATGTTTCGGAAAATGTGACTACATTGTCTAGTCATTCCAGACAATGCTAATCGCCTTGTTTGGGCGGTACTTCTGTGCACAGTTTTTGACAACCATTCATTTGGCAAACATTTCCTTGATTAACGAGAGAGGTAAGCGAGGACAGCGCGCGGTTTCGCAACTCGTTTTGATTCATATGTGTTCTTCTTGCACGTCAGTCGTATTCCTAGCAAAAATCTATACCAAATCTGAACATAATGTATACCAAGTGGGCGTTTACCAAAAAAAAAAAAAAAAAGAAGAGCGGATGTATACCATAGTACCACTGTAATATGTAATGTATAAACACATGCTAAACAGAGAGCGCACCCTGCTCTCTAGCGTAGTTGGCTAAACCGGATTTCGCGGAGACCGGGTTACGAACTCCTTGCGGTCCGGGTTAAATCCCGGGGGTAGGCAGGAAAGGCACATTTTCTCCCAGATTTACGGTATTTTACAATGGAATCAAGGCCGAAAGGTTGCGACATCCATAATACCGAGCCTAAGGGTTAACAACTCATGGCTTCTGGATACAAAAAAAAAAAAAAACATAGAATGCATATTTATGGAGGTGTAGGAAAGAATTGGTGTTGACCCTTTACAATTATTGTGGAAAACAAAGTTTGGGGTGGAAAGGGGAGGGTTTCGACTTCAATCTCACAAAAGAGGTTGGCTGCAGGGATCTCCTACAAACTGTGCTCCTCATCTTGGTTTCTCATTCTTTCAGACTGCTGTTCGTCTTCCCACTTGTGTTGCTGTCTACTTTCGACGTTCCTCTCCAGAACGGTTTTTATAAGTGTTATAGCTTTTATGGTGACCAAGTCATTCGTTTGCTTACATTTTCTCCAAAAACTCTCTCTTTTTTAAATTCCTTGTCTCTTCAGAACCTCCGTGTTTAATTGTTGTTTTCACCATGAAATAGGACATTTTAAAATAATAATTATAGCTTGGGCTACTTTTGTGCGACTAAGAAATAACTATTTGTAGCGCAGATGCAAAATCTGCCTGGCAATTATCAATCCCACAATCACTTAGTTCTTCCTTTTCTTCGTAGGATTCGAGAATGGTGACAGCATTTTCTCAGTTCTTAGCTATAGTGTTTGTGTTTTTCATAAGATTTATGTTATAACAATGTGAAGAAATTATTTCTGGTTTAAGTTTATTGCAACAGAAGAGTATGCTGTTATTTTAAACTTTAATATTTGTTGTGTTGTGTTTCAGTGAATGATTGGGTAATGTCATTTTATAAATATGCCAATTATCGATAACGGGAAACGTGGTTTCAGTGAAAATGGTAAAACCTGTAAAGCAAACATACCGTCGGAAAAAAATTTGATTGTTATTGTTATGACTATCATAACTTATTTGAAGAATGAAAATACTATCAGCAGCTAATATTTTTTTTCTTTATCTGTTTCTCATTCTGAAATCAAACCTGTCCTGGTGCATTTTTATTCCTACTTTTGTATTGAAATATAATATTTTGTTAAGTGTGCAGCTTGATTCAAGAAATCATTTTTTTTTTCACTATAAATCCGCTTTCTTTAGTGCTGCTTATTTAGTTAATGGTTTTTCATTTGTTTGAATCTTCTCGCCCCGTTTTCCAAAAACCCATACTTCATTATTACTGACTTTCTTGTTTCTCACCTAATTTTTATGTATATATATATTTTTTTGCCTAAGAAATTCAGCTCTCATTTAAATCGTTCCCCAAAATGGTGACTTTAATATGATGGCGTTCCAAAGAGAGCTAAATTGGCCAATTTCTGCCCATAAAATATCCAAAAATATCCGAATGCGAGTCAGTTCTATAAAAAATATATGTGCCGGCTCCGGATAACGAAACAAATGCTTTGACAGGGTCTCGGCAATACGTTGCTTGCCGACCTGCTTCTGCGAGTTTGCCTCACCGTATCTCCTGCAACTTCCTCCAATTACTATACTCGTGAGTCCCAGGCACTTAGTTTAGCCCCCATCCACGTTGCGCGTAGTGGCTCGGCGATGAGTTTAATCGCGTTTGGCGCATACCAACAAGTCTGACATCTACCGCTGCTAAATCCTCCAATCGGAAGAACACAGTATTGCTAATCGACTTTCATCGTCTGTAATGTCTCGAGACTGGTCAACTGTCGCTAATATCGTCCGCAGAAATTATCAACGGTCAATATTTATCGTCTGCTACTAGTAGTGTGCAAATGATGATATTGATTGTCAAGTAATCCTAGTTTAGTCGCGATTTGTTCCTTGACAGAAAGTCCGTATTTTAGATATACGCGAACAGTCGTTCGGATATTTTTGGATATTTTATGGCCAAAATGTGGCATGCCGCCATTTTGGAGAATGATTAAAAGGAGCGCTAGAAATTCGAATATATATAATTTGTGTGTGTGTGGTTAAATTAGCTGTTCAAGCTTTTAGATTGTATATTAATCACGTTTTGTATTTAAAAAAATTTTATTTACTATTTTTGAGCACACGACACGTCACATTTTGAATGATGAATATGGATATAGGAAGTGCCGTCTGTATCAACAATGCTGATTGTCCAAATCTGACAGTGACTTGTGTGCAGAGTTTTACTGCGGAGGGGGCTAAACCAGATAGCTTTCTCCATTTTTAGTGCTGCTTATTTAGTTAATGGGTTTTTATTTATTTGAACCTTTCGCCCAGTTTTCCAAAAACCCATACTTCAATAGACTATCCTCCGAATAACGGTCGCAAATTGAGACAAAAAAACAGGGCCTCAGTCATGTGTCAGTTGCCCAGTTCCGTCGTCTTAAAATGCGAGCTTCCAGCGACTTCTGCTGAATTGCGAACTTTCAGCAACTTCCGCCGCCACCGTGTCCCAAACGCCGCTCACACCGCGTCGTTTGGGGCTAAACTAGATGGCTTGGGCTCGCGAGTAGTTGCTACAGCATCTCCTGCAGCTTCCTTCATTTTATTTGCACGTGAGTGCTAGCCATCTGGTTTAGCCCCGATCCATGCCGCATGGGGGACACTCTTGGCGGTGGCGGAAGTTGCCGGACGTTCGCAAATCGGCGGTGGTGTTATAGTCCCCGGAAGTGCGCAATTGACACTTGACTAAGGTTGGTTAGGGTATATTTTCCGCCTTGATAATTTACGAGTTATTCTGAGGATAGCCCTTCAATATTGACTTTCTTGTTTCTCACCTAGTTTATAATTTTTTTTTGTCATAATAAGAATATATAATTTGTGTGTGTGTGGCTAAATTAGCTGTTCAAGTCAGGCTTTTAGACTGTATATTAATCATATTTTGTATTTTAAAAAAAGATTTTAGTTTTTTTTTTAGCACATGACACGTCACATTTTAAATGATGAATATGGATATAGGAAGTGCCGTCTGTATCAACAGTGCTGATTGTCCAAATCTGACAGTGACACTTGTGCATTAGTTGGGGTTTAAATACTTTCCTATGTTCTGTATCAACTTGTAGGACTCAAGAAAATTTTTAGGGTTTCTGTTTAGTTGCAGAGTATAATTTCTTTATCTGGGATCCTTTTTGCGGCTATCCTCTGAAACTGTCCCATATTTTCAAGGCCAGCAATATAACCTAACAAGGGTCTCAGCCAAATGTAAATTGCAGACATCTTTTCGGCGACTACACAGCATACCGCAGGGAAAAGCTTCTGCCTCGTTTCAGCGAGGGTGGGGGGGGGGGGGGGGCTAAACTAGATGGCTGGGACTCACAAGAAGCAGCTACCGCATCTCCTGCAGCTTCTCCATTTTATTTGCTCGTGAGTCCCGGCCTTATAGTTTAGCCCCCTCTGTGCTGCACGTAGCGGTGTAGGGGATACTTTTGGCAATGTAGTTGCCATTCATTCATTACCATGTTTTGCTATTATATGTCACAGATAGCTAAGTCTGTTTCTTTATTTTGTTCTTTAATGTATTCAGTTAATTGATGGGAATAAATGTGTATATTTCAGCCCTATGAACGTTTTGCTGAGATTGGCCGTGTGGCCTACATCGCCCACGGAGATGACAAAGGCAAACTTGTGGCCATTGTCGATGTTATTGACCAAAACAGGGTAAGTCACACAAACAAATTACGCTATTTAGAAAAATCCTAATGTCACCTATATGAGATCTGTACCTCTTATCCTGGGGTGAAATAGGAATTAACAAAGAGCAAAAGTAAAAAAATGATGTAAAGTCCTGAAGTGGGTGAACACCAGAACTGTCTGCTGGAGTTTACTACAGCCAGTGAACGTGAAGAAGAGGAAAGATAAGGTAATCAGGTGTAGACAAGCATATGAAGAAACTGGTGATCACTGATTCATTGCAACTAACCTTTGTGTACCAGGCACCTGATTTGTTGCATTTTTATTTTCCTGAATATATGTTTGTGTGACATGTTTAAACTTATTTTTTATGGCTCTATTGATGCATGCAGTCTTTTATTCTCAGTTAAGTATTTCTTTTTCCAAAGACGCATATCGCTACCTTAGTTGCTTCGTTCACTATTTGATTGCTGATTTTAGCATACTTACACTTACTGCCAAACCACACGAGACTATAATTCTTATAAAATCTTTAAATATGTCACTTTTCTTTCACTGATTCATCAGCTTCAAATGTCAACATAAGGAAAATGATGGACTTGTTTATGTCTATACCATGTAATTTTAAATCAAATTAAAAAACATTTGTTGTCTTAAAAAACTATGCACTCATGCTGTGTTAACCCTTTCGCTGCTATAGACGTCTTTTCCCGATTTCCCGCACGCTGCTACGCCCGTCTTTGGACGTTATTTTTTTTCTTGACCCCCAGTGCTATGGACGTCCTAAGTGTTTTTGGACTTTTCTTACAGATTTCTGTTACCTCGTATTTTTTTGGCTGAAGGGCAATATACATTAGCTATATTTAGATTAAACTGACCCATTTACATATGATTAAAAGCACTGGCATGTACTTTTAGGTGTGTTTAAGGCGTGTTTACTGCATTTTGCGTTATCCCGTTGCTTTGTTTACCGTGACAGCGTGGTCGGTGATCTGTGTATTTTGTGCCCTGATATATATTTGTGCTTTTGGATTATTCTACACTTAGTACAAAATGGCAAGAAAACTTGTTAAAGTTGATGAAGAATTGATAGAGTTTCTGTCAAAAGTGATAGCGACGATGACTTTAAAATGTTTACTTCTGACAGTGAACAAGAAGATTTGACTAGGCCATCAGTATCGACTGCTGAAACCGGCGTGTCCAAAAAAAAAGCTGTTTGCCTGTCCGACGTCCTCATCGTCGGAATCAGAGAGCAGCGACAATGAAGCGCCATCAAAACGGCAATAAATTGATCAGTTATCTTGATGAACCGATGATTTGAAACCAGTAGTGCATGATTTTGATGACTCCAGCTCTATCTGTATTTCTGCTACTGTAAATTTAAACAGTTAAGTCACTAACATTTCTCGTCTTTCCCGATGGATAGACACAGATTCGGACGAACTTTTTTTTTTCTGTCTGTCTGCTAATGCTTAGAACAAAGAAACTTAAAATAAAGTACTTGAGCAAAGACTGTTTGCTAAAAACTCCCGTAAAATAATGTTGAGGGACATATTTTTACTATTGTTGAGAATCTCAAACATTTCTTAGACAACAGTGCTCATGCAGGCGGCGATAGACTACAAACTTAAGACACATTATTGATAGTCATTCATTATGATCATTTACACAGCGCAATTCGTCAAGCGGTAATATAGTGTAATTGGTATCACGTTCGCCTTAAAATCGCAGAGTGGTGTGTTCAACCCCGAAGTTTTTTTTTTTTTATTATTAATTGTAAATTTTCCTTTGAGTTCCTGCTACTTTTCAGCAACGGACGACTTGAGTATTATTATGAATATTTTTTTTATTATTATTTTGGTATGTAATAACATGGTGACTACAAGTAAATATGATTAAAGTGGCAGCCGTGGTAGGTTCGTCAATCAAATTTTGGGATACGGACTGGGAACAGTTCCTCCCATTAATTCTCCCCCCCCCCCCCCAAGGGTGATAGCTCCGTTAGTCAAGTTTGTGGGGCACCATCGTGCCTCTGACTTGTCACCACTCGGACCAACCAAACTCCCCATGGTAAATTTTTTTAGGTGTGCAAAACATAGCCCTCACCGCGGACGCATCTTTTGCATTTTGAGGATAAAGTATTGCGCACAGCAGAGACTTTTTTTTTCACATTGCTTAGCACAGGGAGGACAACTATTTCCGGGAACGTAGCAGCGAAAGGGTTAATAACGGCCTAACCTTCTACTTGATCCCCCCCTTCCCCGCCAAATGCAGTGTAGCTGCTTAGCCAAATACAGTGTAGCTGTTTATTTGTATAGAGTTGTAGAGGAGCCTGCATGGGCAAAGAAGAATTTTAGAGTCAAATAAATTGCAATATTTAAAGTGAGGTTACTTGTTGTTTCATTTGCAGGCACTTGTTGATGGCCCATGTTCTGGTGTCAACCGCAAGGACTTGAACTTCAAGGCTCTCCACCTGACACAGTTTACAGTTGGCATTGCTCACTCTGCCAGGACTGGAACTGTAAGGAAGGCTTGGGAGAAGGCAGATATTAACAAGAAGTGGGAACAAACCACCTGGGCCAAGAAGCTGGCCACAAGTGAAAGGGTTTGTACATTATTCTTTATTGAATCTTCTGGTAGTATAAACAGATATCAAGCAAACGAAAAGTAAAACCGGCCAGCTTCACATCAACTCAAACAATCCATTTAGCAGCTAACACAAAAATTTCTTACGCAAGTAGGAACAGGAATTAGCAAAAAAAAAAAAAAAAATTTTATTTGGCGTACTTTCAATTGCAATGTTGTCTGCTGACTAGTAAAAAAGAACGATGCAGGATGCATAATCTTGCACTCTTAAATTAAGAGATGGATTGTACATAGAGTTAGTTGAGAGGATCAACTTCATTCAGATTCTATCCCATACAGTAGGTTTCTCCACAGAACAGATAGCCTTCTATTGACAGCAGCTAAGATTCCTAGAGCATGGTTCATAGCCAACTTCGAAGGTCTTTGAAAAACTGGGAACTAACAACGGAATTTGAATTTACTGTAATTTTCTATCAGGCTTTTTTCTTTTTGTGGTCACTGTTTTTGCGCCCTAGTCATTTAAATCAATTGTCGATAATTTGTACGGACAAGATTGTCTGATGTTCAACCCTACCAGGACAGAAGAATCAACACCTCGCCACTATTTGAGTGAGAATCGCATGGGAAAGCACGATCAACTGGTTATATCAGGACCTTTTTTCATAACGTTGGCTTTAAAAATAAATGTGTGCCCTTGGGTGAAGATATTTTGCTAACGTCATTTAAAAACATGTGTGGTGGTAATCCGTAAGCTGGCTAGCAGAGTCTCATTGGGGTATTGTTGGTACCCAGGAGCTATATTCACCTTTTCTCTTGGGTCACCTTTCCTCTCTCTCCATACCTTCAGCTTTAGTGACATAGCAAGGTCAGGTGGTACCAAATGCAAAACATTTCATATTCTTCTCTACACATTTTCTGTGTGGGTCCAAGTTCTTGACTTTATCTTACTTTTTTTTTCTCTTCTCCCCTCTCTCTTTCTGTGTTCTACTCCCCCCTTATGGTTTGCATCGGAGAAAGGAAGGGACTGAACACTACTTCCCCCTTGTGGTTTGCACTGTGGGAAGGAAGGGACATGACAGACTCTAGGATCGTGACCTCATCAAATTTCAAAATTCTGTTTTCGCCGTTATAAACTTTGTTGATCTGGGTCTCCCTCACACGTGGACAGCCAGTGATGGGTAAAAATGGGAAAAGTGATGTCACTTAGATTTCCCAATTCTGCTTTGATCCTCAGTGTTCTAAATATTTTTGTTTCAGAGAGCACAATTGACTGACTTTGAGAGGTTCAAGTTAATGAAGGCCAAACAAGCTGTGAGTATATTAAGCTTAGCTGTTAGCTTGTTATATTTATCATACTCATGTTTTGTGGTCCTCTTTTTTAACTTTAATTAAAGATGTTTTTAGATGTGGTGATTTATACAAAGTACATGACCTATGTCACACATTTTGAATGATGAATCTGGATATAGGAAGTGCCGTCTGTATATGCAGTGCTGATTATCCAAATCTGACAGTGACGGTGTGTGCCTCTTAGATTTTGAGCTTGTAAATAATTAAATTATTATGGGTAATCAGAATTGTTACAGGTAATTACAATTATAAGTAATCAGACAGGTATACATTTTAACTCTTGATTTAAGTTGTTCTGAGACAGGTGTTATCTGATTATTTTCACTCTCTTTATTATGTCTTCACTATGTATTAGTTTCAGTGTAATTTTTTAAAATCTTTATGTAGATATATATATTTAGATTTGGGTGTTGTGCCCTTGAATTACTAATTACTTAAATTTTGTGCTTTCAGCGCAACCGTTTGATCAATGTTGAGTTTGGAAAGCTGAGGAAAGCTGCCGGTAGACTGCCTGCCAAGCCCAAGAAGCCAACCAAGAAAGCCGTGAAAGGCAAGCCCAAAAAATAGGCTGCAAATTTCAGATTATGGTTTAAAATTACATTAAAGCTTACTGTGACGTACACTGATTTGTGTTTGCTGTGTTGTTGGAGCATTGTTTGAATGTTGGCAACTTTTATCTGGATTAAGAGAATGTTAGGCGCATATTAGTGACATCAGTCGTATCTTCAGTTGCCATTCTTAAGTAAATATAATCAGCACTCTTTGCCTGGGGAAAGAGACATGCATCCTTAGGGGGGCATGCAGCGGTAATGAATTTGGATGGTTTTGTACTTGCAGAAAACACTTTTTTGCATTTGATTTCAAGTGAAATATGTTTTTTTGAAAGCATTTTATACAACTAATAAATATCTCATTGATAGAAAACATGCATTTAATTATGAAGATTGACACCCACTGGTTGATGACATACTAGTCATGGTTGTCGATGATCCATTCATGAATTGTTGACAAATTGCACATAAAAAGTGCCAGACTTAAATTTTATAGAACGATCTGCACTCACTAGATAAGAGATTGTAGTCAGCGGCACGGTGCAAAGTATTTAAACTGATAGTTTATATACACAGATCTCTGTGTGGGTTCTGGGGCCCTGTAATAGGGAAAACAATGAATAGAACCAAAAGTATGTTGTAAGAGTAGACTAATTGGGAGCTTTCTTCGTAGTTGGGTTGGAGTGCGTCTGCCTGAGAGGCTAGGAACCAGCAGTCTGGATACAAATGTCTGATTTGTAAAACGGATGCACACACAACACATTGGTTCTTGAACAGGACTGCAGTCCAGAAGTGGATGAACAACCACAACTTTCAGCCGGAGTTTACAGCTGGTGAAGAAGAATATACAGAGGTAATAGAAAACCTGGCTTTCATATCGGACAGCCAGAAGATATCGTATAAAGCATGAACTATGACCGCGTGGGCGAATAATACATGAATATTGCAAAAGAAGTTAGGAAAAGAATGGGGTGTCCCAGTATGGGTTCCGGATCTTCACTTTAGAGAACCAAGAATAGACTCCTTACTCCTCCCACGAAGACAAGTACGCAGTAGGGGGCAGCTGATGAAGAGTTAGGTTCAAAGATAAGTCATCTGCCTGAAAGGTGAGGAACTTACAAACTGCATATAAAGTAAATCTAGAAGTGGAAATACAATCAGCACTTTCTGAGTTTATGCCTGTTGAATGTAATGCAATGAAGATGTTTCAAGCAACAAACTGATAGGTAGTTGTGCCGTGATAGGGACTGTGTACAGTTTACTGTTCAAGCTAATGTGTATTGTAATCATTGGCGTTCTAACAATTCAAGCTAATGTGTATTGTAATCATTGGCGTTCTAATAATTCTCAAAAGCTGTATAAATCGTATTTTTATTTATGGAGATGAATCATGGAAAGGTGGTAAATTAGTGAAAACTTACGTGGAAGCTTCTATGTTTTATAGACGAATGATAATACCCTAAACAAATTTTTAAAAAGTATTGTCTTGAAAGAAACTGACACACGAAAAGGACTGGTTGCCCACATAAGAACAAGGTAATCTACATTCTAAGCAGACTCCTGGTTCCTTGCCTCTCAGCAGATGCACTGTGAATTTAAAGGAAACACCTAATTAGTCGGGGGGGGGGGGGGGGGTCGAGACATGATTTTAGGCAGGCTTACTAGTGCATGGTCCCTCACTACAACTAATGAGCGGAAGATTGTAACAACAGAAATGTCTTAGGAGAGCTGCCGGTGTGACAAAAAGCTAAAATCAAGAATGCAGAATTAAGAAAATGACTGACTGAAACCAGTCACAAATTCATTAAAGAACAACAAATGAGATGGTTTGACCACCTGACAAGAGTGCCCTGGTATCAACTGCCACAAAAAGCCACACTGAAGAACACCATGAGCAACCTAACAAATGAACACTAGCTTGAACAATGCATTGGAAAAAGCACACAAATGATCCTTGCATCTCCCCCCAACGCCTTACTAGGGTAAATGGTTGAAGGGCAGAAGAATAAAAAGCTAGTGAGGTCACCACTAAGTCAGTTTTTCATTTCTTTATCTAAAAGACCAAATTTCTATCACTTAGTGGTAATGATAAATTGAACCTCAACTGCAATATCAGTTGCCTAAACAATTATGCTGAACAGTGGGAGAGTACAAGCAGTTAGGGGCGCTGAGTAGTCTCAAGGTATGGGGTCCGCCTGAAGTGCTCAAGTCACTCAAGCCCTGATGAAGGCTGAGATTTGTTCGCATGGACTGCTACTGGTCTGGTTAGAAAAACTAGACGCACGTGTATAATTGTGCTTTGTCTGTTAGTCAAGGTGAAGACCAGCCACTGTGCGGAGAGACTAATGAGGTCAGTCGATTAGATCACCCTGAAGTCATCTAATTAAGGACTTAACCGGATGTGTTGGAATGAAAGGCACAGATATCACAGCCTAGCTATAAACTTTCTTCGTGTTCACCGGCTTTTACGTGTGGGGGAAAGTTTGGTTGTTCCTCTACTGTTCCAGAACTGAAGCTCTGCGTGCACAGTGATTTTACAGATCTGGTTATTTGTATGGGCTGTTGGTTCCTCACCTGTCGGGCAAGTGCACGTCAGATTTGAACATCCCCGAGGCAGTGAGTGTGTTCGAATCCTAAATGTGGCAAGATCAGAAATCATAAATAAATCAAGAAATGACAGCACTGCACTTAGGACTCGGTCCCTGTATGCAGTACCAGTAAAGAGTTGACATGTCAGTTGTACCAGTTACATCCTGATGAAAAGTCTGTCTGTTCTCCTCCCTCCCCTTCCTAACCATAACACTTATTAGTTTTTCAGTGTATGGATCCTCTTAAAATGAAACTAGTGCTAAATGACATGGAGAGACGCTTAATAGTTCAGACGTCTGTCAAGACAGTGCACAGAGTTGATTAAAGCTGGCACAATTTGTACTAAAGTTCTGCACTGACACAGGAATATCTGTGTTCTCTGATTCTCGTAACAACCTGAAAATTTAGGGCCCTTTTATTTTTGCCCTTGACAATTTTCACCACCTTATTTGAAAAAAAATAGTCATTTATATGGCCGCTTGTTCAGACATTCCTCAATTCATTTGATCAATACCTAAACAAATGTTTTTTAGCCAATCTTTCTTGATGTTCAGATCTTTCAAGATGTCAGTATTTCTCCTCTTCTCAATCCAAGATATTCTGAAAATCTTTCTGTAGCATTTCAGCTCAAAATTCCCTATACTCTTTCTTAAACACTTGGATATAATCCACGATTCACATCTGTGTATTGCCACAGGGAAGATGCATGCTCTAAAAATTCAATTAACCATAGACATTTAATGCTGTTCAATCTTTGCATTAAACAGATAATTAAACAAAGCATGGAGTAGTATTCAGGAATATTTCTTGCGATGTTAGCATCCGAACACACACAAACACTTTTCAAGTCCCATACAGTTTTTTAAGATATTGGTGACAGTATAAACAAGTGTTTTATCATTATCATGAAGCAGGTACTTTGCAAAGCATCGCTGTACGCAGGAATGTAGAAAGGTCGCTTGGTTCCCTGTCTGCTTTCCACTTAGTTAACTTTCATAACTGATATCCTGTGTTGACTGTGATATTCCATGCTGATGTCCTATGTTGACTGTGATATTCTATGTTGATGTCCTGTGTTGACTGTGATATTCCATGTTGATGTGCTGTGTTGACTGGGAAATTCCATGTTGAAGTGCTGTGTTGACTGATATTTCATGTTGACTGTGATATTCCAAGTTGATGCCCTGTGTTGACTGATATTCCATGTTGATGTCCTGTGTTGACTATGATGTTCTGTGTTGATTGTTATGTCATGTGTTCACTGTGATATCCCAAGTTGATGCCTTTTTGACTGTGATGTCCTGTGTTGACTGTGATATTCCATGTTGATGCCCTGTGTCGACTGTGATATTCCATGTTGATGTCCTGTGTTGAGTGTAATATTCCATATTGATCTGTGTTGACTGTGATATTCCATGTTGATGTGCTGTGTTGACTGTGATATTCCATGTTGATGTCCTGTGTCGACTGTGATATTCCATGTTGATGTGCTGTGTTGACTGTGATATTCCATGTTGATGTCCTGTGTTGACTGTGATATTCCATGTTGATGTCCTGTGTTGACTGTGATATTCCATGTTGATGTGCTGTGTTGACTGATATTCCATGTTGATGTCCTGTGTTGACTTTGATATTCCATGTTGATGTCCTGTGTTGACTGTGATATTCCATGTTGATGTCCTGTGTTGACTTTGATATTCCATGTTGATGTCCTGTGTTGACTGTGATATTCCATGTTGATGTCCTGTGTTGACTGTGATATTCCATGTTGATGTCCTGTGTTGACTGTGATATTCCATGTTGATATCCTGTGTTGACTGTGATATTCCATGTTGATGTCCTGTATTCACTGTGATATCCAATATTGATGCGCTATGTTGACTGTAATGTCCTGTGTTGACTATGAAGTTCTGCTTTCGCTTCTAGGTACCATACCCTCTATCAGTTTCCTCCAAACCATAATGACTTTTAATATAGCTGAAGTATTTCAATTGACAAGATATAATACTTGTTAGAGCAATGGTTTTCAACCTTCTTCAGAGTTTGTCACCTTTGAATATATGGCATGACTGCTCCTTCTCCTCCCCCCCCCCCCCCCCCAATTAAAAAACAAACATGTGATTGAAAAAAAAAGACAAAAATAAAATTGCCAGGCAATAATAGTAAGAACTTGGAGAAAAACATCCACATTAATCAGTTTCAAATAACATAACAGAAATAATCATCAGCAACTGGTCATTTAGTGTTAAGATATCAATGTGATGATTGACGCAGTTTTATCTTGCAATTTTTGGTCTTATGTTGAACAAGGCACAAAGGAATACTGAAAACAATTATGAGTATAAATAGATTATTACAAATAAAAATGCACTTAATTTTAAAATTACTCGATGCCCCTTGAAACTTCCTTGCTCTTCCTGAGCGGATGGAGTGTACCACTGTGTTTAGAGTATGTCTCCCCCTAGTCCTGAAATGCACACCAAGTTGGTTCCTAAAATAACTAGCCAGGTTTCTACAGTATGCTTAAGCTGAATATCAAATTTGTTTTTTTTTATATTGCTTGATGAACAGTTGAATAACTGATACACATATTACCATCTGAAGCAAAGTATCAACAGCTTTTCCAGAATAGACTAGAATGAGTGACAGATTAAGCAAAGAGCCAATTTAAAAAATGGTAATAAACAATAAAAATTTTTGTGGGCAATATAAATTTATACCCAAAAAAAGATTTTTTCAACAATTAAAAATGACTGCATTTGTATTTTTTTTAAAAATCGTAATAGTGCCATCTCTGTCATGAAAATTGGCAGCAGTGGATATGTACATCCACCTCTGTCTTTGAGAATATTATGTAATGAGGTCACAGTGTTTACATACAACGTCATCGAGAATGGTTGTCAAGATTTAAACTGTAAGTATTTAACTCTTTCAGTACCATAAATTTTGGCAGCCAGTGCCCACTGTGGCAACAAATTATGAAAGCTAACATAATCGAGAGCATGCAGCGCCTGAAAGAGCAAGTCACTGCAGCAATTGCAACTGTTACTCTGGACACAATTCAGAAGGTGTGGCAGAACATTGAATACCATCAAAATATCCCCATAGTTACAAATGGCATCCATAGTGAAGTGCACTAAGATATGACTAAAATTAAACTTTTTTGAACATTTTCAGGAGCCATGTGTGCATCCATTAAATACTTTTTGTATAATAACAGTTTAAAATCTCAGCAATCATCCTCAGTGACCCTGTATAACAATTTCAGTTTTTGCCAGTCAAACTTTTTGTTGAACGCACTCAATCATTCTTCACTCGTCACAGTACTCAATCATCGGCATTTAGTAACTTTCTTGATGGTTCAGTGCCATCACTCATATCAATTTCAAAATCATTGTCTTCATCTTTCTCTGGCGCTTTACTGTAAAACTTCTTGCCATAGTTGATATCCATTTGTTCCCATCGTCTTGTCACTTTCTTTTTCTTCCTAATTGTCTTGATTAAGATAATCGTGATAATGGCAACAACAGCGAAAGCTCCACAGCTGACACCAATGATGAGGCGAACTCGATTGTCCCCTTGTAACAGCTCAGAGAGTCGAGTCTTAGTGTCGGTTGTTCCTATTTCTTCAATGTTCAGAACTCCTGTAATGAAACGTGTGTATATGATTATTTTGTAACAGATGGTAATATCAAAAGTTTTTAATTTAATTCACTCATTCAAGTAAAGTAAAGTACAGGTCCCTTGTCACACCTTATATTTTTTAGACCATCGGCACTAGGTGGGTAATGTGGTCAGCATTACGCCCGCTGTCTCTACGTCCCCAGGACAGCTATCCTGGTACCCATTTTAGGCTGGGTTGACCTGCGACATCCCATACCATGATAAAATCCACGCAGCCAGCAGTGGGTTTTGATCACAGTACGTTGGAATTACGAGTCAGACTCGCAACGTCTAAGCCAATTCACTCTCATTGCTAACATAATAATAATTAGCAATGGAAAGGATGCCATCTGTGAAAATCAGAAATTAACCCCCTCCCCCCCCCCCCCCCCCCCCTAAAGGAATTGCCAAATATTCTAACATCTTCTTCTTCTTTAGCATTCCGAGCCCTTGTTCATTGCTGCAGATATCACCCGCCTCCACTCATCTCTCTGGTTGGACTTCTCTTTTCAGTTGGTAACACCAAGTGTTTGCAGGTCTCTCTGGACATTATCTCTTTATAATCTCATTGGTCTGCCTCGTGGTCTACGACCATTGAGCTCCCTTGTGTACATTTTTTACCTCTCTGTCATCTGACATTCTCTCAATTTGCCATTTTAACCTATAAGCACTTATGATGCCAGTGATCAATGGTGATTTAAACAGATCAGGAATTTATTTGTTGCTTCTCACTCTCCATTCCTGCTGTTAACAACATCTATGATAGGTCCAAAGATTTGTCCTAATACTGTTTTAGAAAACCAGTAACAACCTGTTGTGCTCGAAGTTTCAGAGCCATATAAAACGACTGATGTTTTATATATTTTGATCCTGGTGTTGCAAGATAGAGACTTTAACTTTAGGAGATGTTGAAGGGCAAAACAAAACTGTAACGTACAAAAAAAAAACATTCAAAGATAAACAACTTATTATTATTATTATTCTTTGTTCACGGGCTGTGAATTCCGGCTGACGGTCCCTGTAGATATTCCATTTTGACTTTTGGCTTTCGCCTGTACATCCCTTTTACTGGCTTTTGCTATTCACCAGATGTACTCCGACTTCAAGGGAAGACGTCAAGCCCAGTTGGTAATATTTCATGGAAACTAAACAATCACACAGGTTCTACAGGTAATGGAAGTGAAAAAAAAGTTGTAACAGAGGGACAAACACTGTACACAAAATAGTTATATAGGAGTAGACCACAAGACCTTCCTGGGATTGCACCCCTTTCTTCCTCAGGTAATCTTTTACAACATGCTTCATAAATGCTTGTAAATACCATAAATCTGGGAGAAATGTGGCTTTTCTGCCTACCCCCGGGAGTGAACCCGGACCACAAGGAGTTCGTAACCCGGTCACCACGCAATCCGGTTTAGCCAACTACACTAGAGAGCCGGGCTAACATGCTTCATAGTAATAGTCTTTTGCACAACAGTAACCTGTTCAGCCCTCAGTGTTAAAACTGGGATATAAAGTGTTCATCAAGATCTCAGAGCATACATTTTTTATTTATATACTGTTAATTATTTAAGAAAATGCTTGTAGGTTAAACTTCAATCTTCTTCACGTTTACCGGCTGTAAACTCCGGCAGAAATTTGTGGTTTTTTTTTTTGGTTCACTTCTGGACTCTAGTCCTGTTCCAGAAACTGAGTGTTGCATGCACATCCGTTTGACAGGTCTGACTCATTTGCATGCAGACTGTTGGTTCCTTGCCTCTCAGGCAGATGTACTTTGACTTTAAAGGAAGCTCCCACTTAGTCAATTCTTACGACATGCTTTTGGGCAGGCAATGGATCTGTTCTTGTTTTCCCCCACATCTGGGCCCTGGAACTCACACAGGGAGTAGGAAAAACAAAAACTTTCTTTACTGCCTGTATTTATAACTCTTTAGCCAATGTAGGATAAGGGGGTTGTGAGCCTGCAAATTTAAGTGCAAGTCATAAATTTGCCTGTTAGGATTTTTACTTTAACCCTAACAGTGCATGGATAGGTTAGTATAGTTAGTTATGCATCCTTTGCAGAACCAACACAAGCATTTTTTGCTGTGCTTTTACTGAGCAATTTCATGTTCTGTAGTTTGCCACTGCTTTCTAAATGGTTTTGATAAACTGTCGAAACCAATGCTAGGCAGTCTGCTGTCAGTTCTGCTGCAGCAGGGATAAAACCTGGTACCTCTGAATTACATAGACCCTTAATGCATACACATTTATCATTATTTGCTTCTATTATTAGTTAGTTAGCTGGGTGTTATCATTGCGCTTCAGACATGTCCATAGGAGCTCAGACCCTCCCCTCAGTATGAATCCCAGCATCTAGTGGCTAATAGTACCAGTTTTATGTTGATGTACAAGCCCTCTGATGTGCCTGGTGTGTGTCTTGTTTTCTGCTATGCCGATCTTTACTCCCAAGTCTATCATTCTGGTTAGTGATGTAGATTCACTGCCCCCAAAGTCCTCAAAGCCTTCCCATTTCTCGGCAGGCATGAATAATATCAGCATGATCCATATGTTGACCGTTTGTAATGATAGCGGAGCCTGCCAATGGATCAACCTATCATCTCGTTGCTTCCCTTTTTGTCCCTTAGTAATACAATGGCAAACATGCAACACAAGTTTAATTTAAAACAATGAAAAAACTAGTGCAACGATAAAGTTAACTAAGAAAAATAATTGAATTTTATGTTGTTTATCACCTGGTTTTCCCCCCGCATCAATGCGTTCTTTGTCAATTTCGGCTGAAATGTTTGGAGGTAGTTTAGAAGTTGAAAACTGACCATGTTTCTCTTGGAAAATGTCAAAGGAATCAATGACAGATCCATCTGTTGCATTGATCTGCTCGTATGTCAGAAGTGTTGCATTAACGATGTGAAGACGTCCAAATGATAGCACTGACTCATTGATGTAGCGGAAGGCTGACCACGAAGCTGGAGTTGAAAAAAAAATCAGAAAATCATTTATTTAAAAAAATTGGGAAATAGAAGTATTTAGTTACCTCTTCTCACAGCAGATCCTTGACGGTTCTTCTTTTTTCTTCTTCTTTCGTTCACTTGAAATAGATTATCTATATCTGGCAGATTGGAACAAAATAATAGCAGAAGGCATGGTACCAGGAAGAAATGGCAGGGGCTGACCAACACGGAGATGGGCACAGGATATTAGTGACTCCTTGAATATGAAAGTACATGAGGTGGAAGAGCTAGCAAGAGACTGCGGTTTTTTTTTCAGGCAGACCGCGATGAGAGTGATGTTCTGCAAAGGACCTGCTACATGATGATGATATCTGCCATATTGTCTCTAGTAAGAACTTCAATATTCTTTTTAATTCACTCCTTGACCCATACAGTTTGGAGAATTTACAGTATTAATGACTTCAGAAATTTCTGACACTTTGAAGTGGAGGACAAGCATAGCAATGAACTTGTAAGCTTTAGTTTTACGTGGTAAAATAAACTGTAAAAAGTACTTGCTGTTTGTATTGACAACTTTTTAAACTTTTTAGGGTGATGTGTGACGAGGGGAGGGGTCCTAATTCAAGGCAGATGGCTAGTGCAGCTGCTATTAACTGTGCAGGTTGGGATTTAATTTTTGCTCCTGACAGAATCGAATCCATCACCTTATTGAGGATTTAAACCTGGGTGAGAGCCAAATTCTCTTTACTGTTTAACCAGCCGGTAATGATCTTTATGTTCCAGTTTTATGCAGTGTCAAAGTCTCTACATTCCCCCCCCCCCTCCCCCCCCCCCCCCACATTAAGTTGGAATTGTTGACAACAGAATATCCACAACTTGTGAAGGAAATATTACTGATCTCGGCTTAATCTAAACCAGTTTATATATACATATGTGTGTGTAATGCTGAATTACGACTAAGTCTTCATATAGGAGCTTTGGTAGCCAATGTAAAGTTCTTCATTTTATAACCAGCATAGATTCAGATTTAAAAAAAAATGATCTTGAGCTCCCAGGTCGACCCAGTCTCTAATGGGTAAAAGGTAAAGTCCCGGACACATCCTAACATTAACCACATCAACCATCCAATGCCAACTACAAAAATGTGATTCTAGCAAAATATGGTATGTTGGGCCCTTTACTTATTTTACTTTACTTACACATCTGGCCTGAAGAAGATAAGGAGAGCTTTGCAACACTATACTATCCCAAATGTTATGGTACTTTGGTACTATGTTGGGAGAAAAGTCTACACCCACCCCACTCTTTAGATCTAAGCATTTCCTGACCTAGATGCAAATGCACTTATTTGCTTTCGAAATTGAAACCCAAGTCTTCAGAAAAGTCACAACCAACCAGAAAAAGAGAACTAACCACAGAGAATTTACAACTAATCAATCAACAAGTGATAGGTTATTCATGTGCAAAAAGCTAAATAACCAACCCCAGAGGATTTGTAACCAAGCAGCCAACAGCAGAGGATTTATAATCAACCAGCCACAGAGGATTTCCAACCCACCAGCCAACAATTGGATTTGCGACCAGACAACAACAGAGAATTAGCAACCAGCCATGCACAAAAGATTTACAACCAACCAGCCAACACCAGAGGATTCACAACCAACCAGTTGGCAACAAAAGAGACCTCACAACTAGGTAACCATGGAGGATTTACAACCAAAAAGCCAGAAACAAAGAATCCACAACCTATTATTCAGCCAACCAAACCAGTACTCAAAGTTCTTAAGGGTTTAAAAAAGATTTGTGGTCAATGACATATGTGCAGTTAGACTACATAAACCTAAAGCCATGTGATCATCATCATCACATGCCATGCCAAAAAGCATATGTTGTCATATTTCATCATCACAGGATTACCAGAGTCACGGATCATCTCAGTGTTCTTGCTTGTTCCCATCCATATGACCAAACCATCTAAATCTTTATCTCTTTATATTTCCCTTGTTCTTTTCCCATGAATCTTGACAATTGTTACCTTCACAACTTCATTCCTTCTCATAACTTTGACTGCCTACATTTCTTCTTTGCATTCACCAGCTGTAAACTTTGGTGGAAAGTTCTGGGTGTTTGTCCACTTCTGAACTTTCGGCTTGTTCCAGAACTTGAGTTTTGCATTTACATCCATTTAGAGATGTTGCTTATTCATATACAGATTTGAAACTAACAAAAAAGCTATGAGAAAACAAGGTGTGATGAAGAAATTAACAGGCACCACTTGGGGAGCAGACAGTTGTATCCTGAAGCAGGTAACACAGTCAGACCAACTCTCGAATACGCATCATCGTCATGGATAACAGCAGCCCATTCCAATAAACAGGTACTAGACAAAACGCAAAATAGAAGTCTGCGTACAATTCTGGGAGCCATAAAATCTACACCTATTGTAGAAATGGAAAAGGCAGCCAACATCATCCCCTTAGAAGAAAGAAGAAGGACAAAAGCAATTCTACATGCTGAAAAAATGAAGAGAATGCTAAACCACCCATTACACGAAAAATTGGCAGCCAGGACAAAAAACCGAATAAAGCGCACAAGCCTAAACCATCTAACTAAGGAATTTGGAAAGTCATTCTCTTCACTACTTAACCAACAATGTACACCTGAAGAGCTATCTTTCGATCTCTGGGACTCAGAATTATTGACACTCAATGTGTCAACATCCATCCCGAACCTGGGAAACAAAGATGCTGAGCCCGCTTTAGTAAAGAAAGCACTCACAATGGAACAGCTCAACAACATGTTCCCACAGGACAGCTGGACGAGAATCTACACGGATGGATCAGCAAAAGAGGCAACTACGAATGGTGGGGCAGGTGTTTACATAAAACACCCAGATGCCACTACTGTGTCCCTAGCAGCCCCCACCGGACGAACTTGCTCTAACTACAAGGCAGAGCTCTCAGAGCGACATATGGCAACACCCAGTAGAACTGACAACTAAGTTTTGGGGAACCTAAGAGACCTTGAAAAGACATCCCAGTTTATGACCCACAGTGGATTATGCGCATGACCAGAGATCGCTGAAGACGAAGATATACAGATTGTTGTTTCCTTGCCTTTGCAGTAGATGTTCTCTAGCTTTGAAGGAAACCTTCAGTTATTTAACTCTTACAACATGCTTGTCGTGGGGGCAGTAAAAGTCTATTTCCTCCACAATCAATCAGGTGCCGTCTCTAAAGTGAAGGTTGGCTGCAATGGATCTCCAACACGCTGAAGGTACTGGTTGTACACTCTTTCAGACTGCTGACCATTCATCTCTTGATGTTGTCCTCCCATTTGTATCGTTGCCTACCTCTTGCTCTCTTGTCTTTGACCTTTCCCTCCAGTATGATTTTTTAAATTGTATTATGTCTTTTAATGTGGCCAAAGTATTTTGTCTTTTTTTTTAAAAATTTCTTTCAGTAATTATATTTTCACTTGTAGCCTTTTTAAACCTCTGTATTGGACTGTTTTTGTTTTCATGAAATACAACCTATTTTTTTGTATACCCACATCTCCATAGATTCAATTTGATTTTCTAGTTGCTTGTTCATTGTCCAAATTTTTGCACCATATAGTAGGACTTAGTATACATAACATTTGACGATTCTAATTTTTAGTGTGTTGTTTATCTCTCTAGCTGTCAGTAACTTGTGCATTTTATTGAAGACAGTTTTAGAGCTTGCTGAGAAAGGTGAAGACAGGGATGCTTCGAACAGAGTGGCAAGCTTCACTGAGAAGGTCATGGGTAGTGAGCATACTTTGGATCTTTTCTCCAGGCCATGCCGGCGTAGTGGGTAATGAACAGGCAGACAGATTGGCTGGATCTGCACCACTGGGTGGTGAATTGATACATGCCAAGGCAGATGTGGTCAATGCCCTTTGGAAATAAGCAACAAAATCAGTAGAGAAAGAAAATTAGTATGGCCTGGAGAGAATGAGGCACCTGAATGTCACCACACTCAGAGGAAAGGCAAGAGGGACATATAACCAGATTGTGACCGATACAATCAGTATTTGAACTCTCTGCCAGCTGCTACATGGAAATTCACCGAGTTAGTTAGTTAGTTAGTTAGTTAGTTAGTTGGGTTATCGTCATTGCACTCCGGACATGTCCATAGATGCTCAGATCCTCCCCTCAGTATGAACCCCAACGTCCGATAGCTAATAGTACCAGTTCTATGTTGATTAACAAGTCTTCTGACGTGTCCGGTGTGCGTCTCGTTTTTTGCTGTGCCGATCTTAATTCCCAAGTCTGCCATTCTGGCGAGTGATGTGGATTCACTGCCACCAAAGTCCTCTATCCTTCCCATTTCTCTGAGGGCATTGATAATATCAGCATGATCCATAGGCCGACCGTCGGTAGTGATAGCGGATCCAGCCAACCTGTCAGCTCTTTCATTTCCATCGACGCCTGCGTGTCCCGGAACAAAAATAAAGGTGACTCCACGCACAGTGGACTTCTGTAATGATTCAAGCCATTGTCTTCGCACTGAACCTGCCTGAACCCTCCGGATCATACTCATTGAATCACTGAGTATACATATGCGGGTGTATTTTTGTGTTTCAAGCCAGGCAAACGCTTGCGTCACTGCCATCACCTCCATCGTCATGCTGCTGGTTGTCATGGAGAAGGCACCGTTGGCTTCTTTGACTGTTCTGCCCGCTGAGCGTGCTGTAAATGCCCATGCGCTTCTTCTTTGGCGTATAACGGATCCGTCTGTGTAGATTAGTGCATCTGCTTCGTCTGAATTTTCACCGATGAGAGCGTTGACCTCTGCATTAACAGCAACAGGATTCTCTTCTCTACATCGCCTGTTGAGTGTGACAATACAGGAAAATGTACAAATAAACGCCTGAGGCACAGGTATCCATTCTGCACCAGGTATGATGTCGGTTAGGCTGCATATTTGCCTAATAACATCTTCTGCCCGACCTAGCCACGATTTTCCCCTCTTCAGTCTGTCGCCCTTTTTACTAAAAAGCGCTTGATGCAGTGGGTGTTTCTTATCAGCACATATTTTGAGGTATGCCCGAGCCCTCCACATTCTGATCCTTTGGTTCATTGTTGGAAAGTCAAGTAGATACATCATTGCTTCACAGGATGTGTCTCTTGTACATCCCAAAATAATGCGCATGGCTTCATTTTGCACCTTTTCGAGTCTTTCAATCTGGGTAGCACTGACAGTGAGGATGGCCAAAGCGTATTCAATGGGTGAAAGGACCAGACCGTAGAATAGAAGTATTAGTAGTCTTTGCTCGATATTGGAAGCAGCCATAATCCTCATTGCAGATAGACCTTTGCGTGCTTTTGTTATCACATGGTCAACGTGTTCCCTGAATGACAAGCTGCGATCAAACCTCACCCCGAGAAACGTCATAACGTTGGTTCTGATCAATATATTATCACGCATTTTCACTTCTGGTAAGTCCGACTTGACAATGTGATTGTTCAAAGAGAACCATGACACTGATGCCTTCGAAGGATTTACATAGGCATTGGAACCATCACACCAGGCGGCAATTCGATCGAGTTCTTTGTGCATTGTGCTGGCGATCTCCTGTCTATCACGCCCTCGTCGATAAATCAAAATGTCATCAGCAAATGACAAAGTCCTTCCCTTTCCATTCAACTGCTGCTCAGTGATCATCACCGTATAAACGTTGAATAAGACTGGTGATAGCGGTGATCCCTGTGGCAAGCCTGGACATATCGTTTGCGGTTCTGAGGACCAGCTACCACATCTTAGTACAATCTTTCTCTGGAACAGGACCGCAGCAATCCAGCGGATCAGAATAGGATTGACTTCTAGTTTAAGCAGTAATTGCATTAAATATTCGTATGGTACTTTATTGTAGGCATCTTCTAAGTCCAACACTGCCGCACATGTCTCTTCTTTAATCTGAAATCCCTCGTACACATCGTAGCCGAAAACAGCAGCATTGAACCATGTCTCTTTCTTCAACCTGTACCCTCCAAGTGTTGATGGGAACTTATCATGTAGTTCCAAGTAGGTGGTCAATCTTTGTGCGACAATTTTTTCCAAAAGTACAACAGTATTCTGCATCGAGATGATTCTGTAGCCGCAGATCTTTGAGTGGTCTTTATTAGGCTTTGGTAGTGGGAACAAATAACTATGGATGTCACAACCCTATTAAGTACAGTCAGTGTACCACACCGTAAGGTGTGCACCCAGGGTTGACACAGAGGTCAGGGCCGTCACTGGTCGAGTCCGTTCTGTGATCGCACGGCGAAACCAGCGCTCAGGATAAAGCAAGAAAGCGTGAACTGTGTTTTAGTAACACGATGACTGCTTCTGGGACTGAGCTGGTGAACGGGGTCAAGAGACACGAGGGAGAAGGAAGAAGGACATTCGGTGTGCGTCGGTCAGGAAGAGAGGACGTTTAGTGACTGGATAGTTTATGTTATAGTATTAAAGTTAGGATATATTTCTGTTAGTGACTGGATAGTTTATGTACAGTTTTGTGGTAGGATAGGATAGTTCTTGTGTAGAGTATTTATGTATATGTGCTGTGAGAGAGTGGCTAACCTGGACACTCTGACCCTGCACTAGGACAGAGACTGTGACAGTTTGATTGGGTCAGCGTGGCG